TTCCAATATTATTACATAAAGCTTTACTGGAAGTGATAGATAAAGTTGAAAAATTAGAAAAAGAAATTAAGGAATTGAAAAAAACAATCTAAATAATAATATATAATGGGTATTGGTCAAAGTAAAAACGATGAAAATAACAGTATGGAAGACATTAAGAATTTAAGAGTAGATGAAAAAACAAGAGCGGATACTTTAATAATTAAATCTATTCAAGAATGTGTGGCAAGGATTGAAAGATTAGAAAGTCAAAAATCGGACAAACTAATATATAAATTACCTGCGTTGAATTTATGCAACGCTTCATTAATTTAAATCAAAAACATTAAACAATAAATTTAATGTTATTGATTAGTGATTTTCAAATATTGTGAAAAGTTTTTCATAAAGATACGGTTAGGGTCTTTTTCTAAAAGGTTAATATATAAAAAACTATGCGGTTCATCAGTGGCAGTTTCATATATTTTATAAATTAATTTCTTGCTTTCGTGTAAATTATCGCTTCTAACAATTGCTGATAATTCATCTTGTAATATTTCTATCTCTTTGTAGTTTCTAACTTTATAATAAAACAAATGACTTATATTTACTCTAATAATTGGTGGCACGGTTGATGATTTTTGAAGACTGACAAGCGTTGATATTCCACTATGACGTCCCCTACAGAATAAAGAATTTAACAATTTGTTATTTCTTGTTATTGCTGGATTATCAGATACATCATCCAAAATTACCAATATATTAAATAATTTCTTCGTTCCTTGTTTTTTCTGGTATTCAATTATTTTATTTTGAGTTTCTATAACTCTTTCTAAATCTTCAACATTGAACTCATCCCACCAACACGGTTCTTTATCATTATCTACTTTCAAACCTTCCTTATATAATGTATTTTTTAACAGGCAACCAAATGCTATCTAAATTTACTGATGGAGACCAGATAAAAATTCTTTCAAATGCTCCTCTATAAATATCAAGTATCATTGATACAAGTAGCGTCGATTTGCCAGAGCCTGACGGGCCCACAATCATAGCTCTCATCGGCAATTTAGGGACGACCTCATGCTTACTTTGCTTAAAGTCGTATTTGATTTCATCAATTGGTTTTACATCAGGCATAATGAAAATAATATTATAAATACTTATAAAATAAAAAAATATAATATAATTATATCATAATGGCTATAGAATCTATAAATTTAAGTGAAGTGGCTAGTATTCGGAGGATATATAAATTTGGTGATATCTTAGTGCCCGACACTGAACAAATATATTATGATACGATGTTATACTTTTTATCGGCAATTAAAAAACAAAATATCGTAGTATCCAAGTCCTCAATTGAAAATGACAATAACCTAGATTTTAATTTTAGAAAGTTAGTAAATTTTATGAACGATTATCCCGATATGTATACAAATGAAATGATAAATAGTGTACAAGAAGTTATTGATATTAATATTAAAGATGTTAGTCTATCAACTGCAATAAAACTTACTAAAGAAAATAGTTTAAATACATATTCTATTTAATATTAATGGAACATCTTTTTTATGATATGCTGGCAGTGAATATCATAAAAATGGAACAGGCTTTCCATTGCTTCAATCAATAAGCATTGAAGATAATTAGTTTTGTGTCTTGCTCGCGTGTGCAATGAAAACCCAAGTGCTGTGCCCCACCAATATTCTATTATGCATGAAAATAATAAGATCAAATAATTATTTTTAATAATTATTTCATCTTATTATTTATATGACTATTATCCATTGCAGTTGTGGTAAAACTTATGATGACAAATATTTATTTAAACATCTAAATTCAAAACATCATCATAAATTTGTGGAATATAGATGGAATAAAGACGATACAATGAAAAAACTGTACAACTCTAGGAAAAAGAACTTTTTTCCTAGAGTTCTAGAACTTGAAAGAACTTATCAAGTTCCATCAAGTTGTACAAGGAAAAGAAAGACAGAAATGAAAAAATAATTTATCGTATTATTTAATATGGAAAGGAGTTATTCAGATTATATTGATATAATAGATGAAGTAGAGAATATAGAACAAGTGATAATAACTGACAATAAAAAAAAATGTTGTTTATATTCATTAGAATTAATAAAATTAGGAATACAATATATCAAAAATAAAAATGTAAATATTAATATAAATGGGAAAAAAGAAAAACAAAAAGAATAAAACAGATACTACAGTTTCTTCAACAGATGAAGAAAAAGAAGAAATTGTTAAAGAAACAGCACTAACTGAGTTTGAGTGTCCTATGTGTAGAAAGATGTTAGCAATGAAGAACGAATTAGAAATTCAAAAGAAAGGAAATTGCAAATGTTCTTGTGTGCCATTAGGGTTTAAAATAACTAAAAATGATAAGAAAATGAATATTGATAAAACCAAGGACAGTATCAATCTGGAAACAGATGCACATAATATTTCTATCAAATTTGGAAATGAGGCAACAATGTCAGATAATGGAGATAACGAAACTCAGGAAACTATTAAACAAATGATGAAAATTTAGTATTTAAAGAATATATTTTACATTAAATCAATTTTATAAATAAATAAATATTTAAATAATTATCTAATTATTTGTATAATCATAATGCCAACTATGAATAGAGAAGACCATAGAGTTATATTTTTTGACAATGAAGAAATTAAAGACCTATTCAATGGTGATGAAAACTTTGCTAAACAATTGAGCGAAGAATATGTTTATTGGTTTGATGCTAAATTCAATGATAAATATTTTATGAAAGGTATAACTAAACCGGATAAATTTGATAAAATATTGATGTTTTTGGAAATTACAGGTGACGAGGAAGGTTTAATAAAAATGAACAATAAAATTGGTGAAAGACTGTTAGAATAAAATTTATTTACATATGTAACATTGTATTATTTAGGTAAACTGTATAATAAAACGCATAAATAAATATTTAAATAAATAATTATGTAAATAAATATATATAGAAATGTCTGAAGTTGAGAATGATGCTATTGCTGAACTATCAAAGAAGGTAATGACAGTTAGTAAAAATGTTAAACTGTTGTACGAGATGATAAAAACTATTGACCAGAAACTTGATGCAAAGGCAACCGAACCAAAAAATAACAATGAAGAGAAGGAAAAGATTGATAAAATTTTTGAAAAGAAAGGGATAGGCAGACCCAGCGGTGATTATGACACGAAGCGTAAAAAATATTGTGATATGTTAAATAAGGGACAAATCAAAAGTCCAAAAGAACAAACATTAGAATACTATAAGATTATTAAGGAAGATGATAAATATGTATATTTCTAAAACATTATCTAAATCATTCTAATAAACAATATGAATTTATTAGAATTATTTTCAGGCAGTGGTTCTGTTGGAACGACTGCCATCAAAAACTAAAGCAGAATGGGGAGATAATTATGTAATACATAAACAGGAAGATTTATACAAAATACCTGCTGAATTGATTTGTGAGATTTTGACAAGTTTGATGGACTAAGGAATTTGAGTTTCTGGCACCAAAATGAGCCCTCATGAGGATTTTTGCTCTTTACCCTGATTTCAATGGTACGCTACCATAGTTTCAATGGTACGCTACCCTAGGTAAACTACCATGGTTTCAATGGTACGCTACCCTAGGTAAACTACCATGGTTTCAATGGTACGCTACCATGGTTTCAATGGTAAGATTTCAAGGATACATTTGACACATACTTATTATTTTAACACATAAACCTTACAATAAAAAACATTGTAAGATTTATGTTTGAAAATTATGGGGATTTTATATTTTGGGATTTTGGGATTTAGGGTATGATACAGGTTTAAAGGTAAATTACCTTAGTAAATTATGGAGAAGCAGTATTGCAAAAGATGTAATGCAACTAAACCAGTTGAAGAATTCAACGGAATAAATAAATATTGTATAAGGTGCTTGGAAAAGGAAAGGGAAAAACACCAGAAGAATAAGGAACAAAAACATCAGCAAAGCAAAAAATACCGTGAAGCACATAAGGAAGAAATAAACGCCAGAATGAAAGAATACAGCAAAGTCTATAATCAAATTGAAGTATTTTGTGATATTTGTCAGTGCAAAGTCAAAAAATGTAGATGGTCGGAACATAAAAAAACTCAGAAGCATAATAAGAATCAGAAGCAAAAGGAAACACCGACTATTATTGAAGAAGCACCTGTTGATATTGAAACAATATGAATTGAAATTACACCATACATTTTACAATTAAATTATTGTAAAATTTATGTTAAATGTTGATTTGGGAATTTTAGAAATTTGAAAATTATATTTTGAAAATTTAGAAAAATATTTACAAAATTTATGTATCAAATCTTGAGTTGAGGTTCTGTTATGAAATGATGAAAACATATTATGTGAATTGGTCGGTTGAGGGGATTTTATCCAACTGGGGGGAGGCCATAGGTAGGTTATACACCCCCCCCACAAAAAAAAAGAAGAAAAAGCCCGAGCAGAAAATCCGTTTGGTTTAACTGGTGCCCCAAATGATGAAGCGTGGGCGTCTTGCTGGCTTCTGGAGGCGTTTTTATCATTGACTCTTACCTCCCCCACCAAAACAAGGAAACTTATCAGAAGAATTCACCAAAACCACATGATCTACAAGAAAACTTCCAGCTCAGCCGGTAAACGTGAGCTGTTCAAGGTCCCACATATATCTCTTTCAGGGACCCTGAAAGGAGTACCCTCAAAAAACACAAAGCCAAAGCAGTGATATTGATATTGCGTGTCTTTTTTTGGGGGACCCCCCCTTTACAATCGTGTCTTTTCCCCATCTGGTTTCCCTTCCAAACAAGGGAAGGGCAACCACGCCAAAAGGACACCCCCAATGGTTGAGCTTCCTGGCTTCAGAAAAACCTAAAACAAACACATCCCAATGGTTGGTTTCAGAAAGGCTATCGCTGTCCAAAGGCTCCTGAAAGCTGCTTTTTCGACCGCGGGTCCCTTGCCTTCAACTTCTTGGCCACGCCGGTCATGGTGCCACCAGTTCCTCACTCGAAAGCAGTCGCCGCCTTTTTTCCAGCTCCCAGGCGGGCGCGATAGGTAGGGACTACATTTCTTCCCTGTTTAGAACCAGCAAGTTTGTCCCCTGCACTTTCCCCCTTTGGGATTCCCTGCAGCACCCCAGACCGTGGTTTTTGCCAATAGTATTTGGGAACACTGGCTTTGCGACCCTAGGAATTGAAATGGCCCCCCTCTCCCTCTCCGAATTCGATGTTCCCTGTTCTCTTAGGCCACCTCCGTCGGAAAACACATGACCGCCTCTACAGCGATTCTGATTTCCTCCTGGAGGTAGAGAACTACACCAAGTTTGCACGTCCCAGAAAGAGGGAAAGGGCACTTCAAAAGGTACCTGAAAAGGGGATCCTAATGTCCTTTGACTAGTTGGGGCTACAATCCTTGATTTGGGTACGAGCATACACATCCCGCTCACCCCTGACTAAGCCACACAAGAAGTTCCAACGTGTTGCTTTCTGGCCCAGGTTTCTTTTTTTCAGCCAGACCCTGTCCAACCGTCACGCATGAGTGCCACATAGCGAAAGGACAAGTTTGTTGGGTCCTTGACTAAAGCGAGGTCCTTTAACATTGTAACATGCCAACTGCCTATCCAGACCCCGAGCTGTTCGCATAAACAAAAATGTTTTGACCGATTTGCCCAACCATGTGGGCAAAATATTGCCATGCACTTGTTTACAGGCCAGTTGTGAACAAAGGTCCGCCCCATACAAACACAATCCTGTCAGCTTCAGGGCGCATACGTTGATGAGCCCTCCAGCAGCTAAATGCTGTGGCTTGGTTTCCCTTCAAACACCCAACCAAAGCAACGGTCAACCCTATTTGCCATACCCACTGGGTAAGCCATAAATTCTCCAACCAAACATGATCTTACACCCGTCTTCTTCACCGCACCAAAACACTTTGAGCCATGTTTTTTTTAGACGCTGCCGTCCCGAGGCGCCGGTGGACATGATCATGTAGTCCAACTTCCCATCGCACTGCTCCGCGATCTCCTCCGCGGTGCCGTCGTAGTGGGCCAGAGGGTTGCCCGCGTTCTTGTACTGGTCCAGCACCTCGGCGAAGGGAAAAACCAAGGGCTACCCCAGGTCTTGGTGGCTCCCAGCCATCCCTTTAGCTTTTAGCTTCTTTGGGTTCAGTGGTTGACCCACTAATCTAGGGCTACCTTCCAATTCCATTCTTTCCTCGGATCCCATTTTGTTTCTTCTGGAAACCATCCAAAAACCCAGGGAAACAGCTGGTTTTGGGATGGTTCAAAACGGGGTAAAGGGAAACTGAACCAAACCTAGGTCCTCCAGTAGAGAGGTTAGACTTAAGGCTACCCACTTTTTTCTGCAGTCTTTTTAGCCGGGGAACCCTGCCCCAAAAAAGGGGTAAAAGGGCACCTAGCTGGGGGACGTAGAAACCCAAAGCTGCCAAAAGACTGGTTTGACCAAGTTGATTCCATTTGCGTTTGGGGCACCATGGAACAAACCGGTAGTGATAAACTCCTTTAGAAACCAGAGGAACAAACCAGTAGTGCTAGATTCCCTTAAGAACCAACAGAGGCAAAACACAAAACAGATTCATTTCAGAAAATTGATGGTTGGTGGAAACTCCAACTGCTTTACCCGGTGTCTTTTTGCAAGTGGGCGGCTACCCTTTTGGGTGGTAAAGGGAAAGTGAAGGGAACACACATTTTGGAGATGTCCTACCTTGAAAAGGCGATTCATTCCTCACGCACAAAGCGGAGAACTGTTCGTTTGTGGGAAAATATATGTTTCAACACAAGCAGAAGGTCAAAGATCCAACTACGTGGAAAAGCTACAAGATAATCGGAAGACAAACCATTCGATTGGTATTTGGGCGAACTTCCTGTAGACCTTCCTGTGGTTGGTTCCTTAGAGAAACCCGTTGTGTTCTACCGAAATGATTTGTCAAGGTTTGTATTTAGGCCGTACCATGACCCCCTCCACTTGGAAGTTCGGCCAAGATAGAAAGTTGTCGGTATCCTAGGCGATAACTGTTTCCCCTAAGTGGGGTTAACAACCAAGTGGTGATCACCACTTACTAATCCAAGGGAAGTCTAAGGAACCCTACTTGGCTCTCAACCCCCCACCCCCCCTTCCTACTCTAAATGGGCTTCAACCTACCAAAAACATGCGACTAGGTGCCTGGCAGGTCACCTTTTTTGGCCTCAAAAGTGGGCCTTGGCTTAGGATCAACTTGCTTGGCGTTAGGGAAACGAAAATGGAAACCTCGCATGAAAAAACATCGGAACATTGCAACTTGTAAATCGTGGTTTCCAACTTTATTTTGGTGCTGAAAAAGCATGACGTTTCAATTGGTTGCAACATGGAGATCTTTTAAGGAGCCCTGGGAAACCAAACACCTTGAAAGGTAGCCACTGAACCCGTCGGGAGGCAAGAGCCAAAATAGAGCTCAATCAAACAGGACGCAACCTTTGGGTTTGGGGTTTGGCGACCAACAATCTACATTGGAGCTTACCGTGTTTGAGACTTCTCCTCGACAAGTCCAGCCTTCGTAGTCAAGGGCAGCCACGGCAAAGGCCGCGTGTGGCTAGCCCAACCGCCCGGCCCACAAGTTGCAATGATTACTTGAAAGGCTTTCTTCCGCGTCTGGCTTGCTGGTTGCTGCCAACATGCACATCTTTTACAGTGTACAGGTCCATTTCACTCTATCTTCACATGTGTGCAACAACCGTGGAAAGCCTGGAAAAGGGCCCCCATGGAATTCCATTCGGGGTAGGCACATGGGGGGTGGGTAGTTGAGAGCCTTAGGGTTTGTAGGGTTCCCTACTCGGATGTTCGGCCAAGTTAGTAAGTGGTTAGCCATTTGGGGTATAACCCCCTCATGACAAGGTTAAGCCCACTTAGGGGGACTTGTAAATGAGTTATCATGTAGGATACCACAACTTACCAACTGGTCAGAACACCCGAGTAGCGTTCCTTAGGGTTTGCCCTTGGACCACCCCCCCCCCCCAAAAAAAAAAAAGGAAAGTGAAAAAAACAAAACCGGTTGATGAGTCCAGCCAAGAGACGTGGCCGCCGAGGTCCTTGGCCAAGCGTGCTGACAGAAAGATGTGGCTGTCCTGCCGGGTGAGACGCGCATCGAACCAAACGCGCAGGTCGTCCAGCGTCCATCTGGATTTTCTACACTTGTGTAAAAACAGGTACACATATGCACAGATTCTTACATAGAGGTGTTGACACGCGGCATCTGCATTTTCTACACTTGTGTGTCAATACAGGTTATGCCTAATACGTATGCAAAGATCTTTACATAGAGGTGTTGACAAAGGCTTCTCATTTTAAGCAACGTACGTGTTTGACACGGACTCTGGCGACAGCAAACGACCACGCCCTCAGCTTCGCTTGGTTCCTAGGCAAGGGTTGGGCCCAACACTACTAGTAGCCATTTTCTTGCACAAAGCATGCCATAGATGCCCAACAACCAAACAATTAGAAGAATGTATATATGTCTACATGTTTATAAATTAACTGGAATTCACATGCATATGTGTTATGCATAAATAGAACGATGTATTTGCTGGTCGCGCTCAACCCGCTAGAATTCAATGTGATTCATTGGTGTTCAGCAAAAGGTCCTGTACACGGGATGATTGAGGAAACCACCAAACAAGATTTGACGTTCATGGGACAAGTTAGGGCCCTAAATGGAATGTAGATCAACCCCCACATCCCATTCTCCGGATTTCAGCACGTCTATTTTGGTAGGGTCCCGAACCCTCCCAACCAAAAAAGTTGGGTGAACAACTTGGCACCAATTGCTGGGGGAGGAAGCGGTCCTCGGCGTCCCAGGCGGCCTCCGTTGGGGTGCGCAAGATCTCGGCGCCCAGGCACTTCATGGTGTTCACCTTCTCACCGGACATCTTCTGGGGCAGGCAGATGATCTGCTTGTAGCCTCTCGGTTTGATCGGCGAAGATGCTCGGGCTCGTGGGGTTCTACTTGCTGGTTGATCGTCGAAGGTGGTTCCTGGGGTTCGGCTTGTAGCCTCTCGGGTTGATCGGCGAAGATGAGTCACAATCAAAACCCGGTACAAAAATGGTCGCAATCCCAGAACCATGTAAGGAATTAAGAGGGCGGCCGCAGCTATTTATGGTTGGGATTGTCCCATCCAGGTTTTGAGTGTGGCTCACATGGGTCGTGGGTTTCTCCTTCCTCGTTGGAAGATGACGGTCCTCTTCCATGGTTGGATTTCTTGACTGCCAGGCCGAGATCCAGTTGGCCCAGGTTGGGTCTCAAGGTTAGAGAGTCTCCCACCAAGCATGGAACTTGGCGCAGGTTCGACCCCTCGGACGACTTTCCTCTTGAGAAAGGCGGCTGTAGCACTGCGCGGCCTTTGTTGGTAAGAGGGTACGAAGGGCACTGCAGTTCTCATAGCACTCAAGCTGCAAAAGAACACGGAACCCCAAAACGGGGGTCCATCTCCTCTGGAAATAGCGGTTCTTCGTGTTCCATGTGAAGCTGAAACCATAGAGTTCAAGCTGAAGGAAACCACCAATCTGCTGAATCGATGAAACCAGAAACTGTTCCATTCGCCACTGTTCATCTCTTTGGGGAGCGGCGCTTTGAGCAGCGCCAAGAAGGGGACCAAGCCCACGCCGAATCGATGCTGACGCTGATGGAAGGAACCATGGGTCCGGCGACATGGCGCAAACGACCCTCAGCAAAATAGTTTCCGGCGACAAAAATCGTTGGAATCCCCAAATGAGATGCTCAACACGCGCATGGACAAAACTGGCTTTTAAAGACCAGGCTGGCTCGCCAGGCCTGCCGTTTCTCAGCCGCAGCGGCTTGACTAGAAACAAACGAAAGGTGCTCCAAAACCTCTGGCACAGGGGTGGAAATGTGTTTGAAGGAAAATGTAGGGACGCCAAATCAATGTTCTACCATTTTATTTGTTTGTGGTGTTGGGTTGGAGCACCGAATCTTCAGCGCTTGACAAATCCGAGTGCGCTCGAACAACTCCCTGCGTTCGGGCATCTTGGATACACAGAACAAACAAAAAAACAGATTCTCTTTATTCAGTCTGCCCTAGAAGACGTTTTGGGATCTGAGACCCAAAACGCACTCCGAAGCGAATCTGCCCAAAGTCAGCCTTTGATGGCGGAGACCAAGCACAGGCCCACCCCGGTGTTCCCGCTGGTGGCCTCAGGGCAGTCTATTTGGCTGCTCAGATGGAACCCGATGGATGGCACAGAGACAACCAGCCCCGGCCAAGGACAAAATTGTCAGCTGACCTTCAACTGGGCAACGTCCCAAAGGTGGATCCGTTTTGTGGGGTCACCTTCTAGGATTGTCCTTTTTCACGGGAATCAAGAGAACACCGATGATTTTAGGGCAAATCCTACTTTGAGACAGACCCAATAGTTATACTTCCCAGCACCTTCCTAGCCTCGTCAAATTCGTAAACGTAATATTTCAACGACTGGGTGTGTCTTTTGAGGATACCCCTTTTTTGTTCTGTTTTCAAAGGGAAACCACCGCCACTAAAGGGCCCCCACAAAAACAAGGCCACTGGCTGTGCACGCTCCACCTGGAACCAAAACTTGATTCCCCCAATCCCCCAATCCGCCTCAATCAAGATGTCCCCGGGCTTAATGCGGCCGCTCTTCTCGGCCTCCTCGACCATGCGCTTGGCGATGCGGTCCTGGGAGAAAAATGGTCTCAGACCCTTGGCCCTGCCAAGGCCCCGGTGCTGGGGTTCAAACCACCTTTAAAACGAATGGGGGTTCATACAACCACCATTGTTTCCCTCAGGATTGTCATCATCTAAATTGGGTCCTGGCCATTCTTTTAATTGGGGTTGAACCCTAGGGGGTGGCTTCAACAAATGGGTTTTGCTGATTGCCATGGTTTAGGTTCCTTCCAAGCGACACCAGAAGAAGATTATGATTTAAACAGTCGTGGTTAGTCTTGGTTTAAACATGTTCGCGGAAAGGGACACGTACGCGCACAAATCCACTCTGACCCAATGGAATTCGTCCAAACAAGCAAACAAAAACAAGAGAACCATAAAGAAGCAAAAGCACAAAATAACCAATTGGCAAATTTCGAGAGTGTGGGTGTATATATATATATATGAGGAGCGGACAAAACACTTTACTTGGCCCTAGTACTTTTTTGAACGTTATCGTTTTTGGGGAGACCTACAGTGTTTCGAACTTTGGCAGGTCCGGCTCGAAAATCGCAAGTTTGTAGTACAAGTCTAGTACGCGAAGTACACTTCCGTAGCTCCAGCTCGAAAATCGCAACTTTGTAGTACAAGTCTAGCACGCGAAGTACACTTCCGCAGCTCCAGCTCGAAATTCGCAACTTTGTAGTACAAGTCAAGTACGCAAAATACACTTCCGCATCTCCAGCTCGCAAATCGCAACTTTGTAGCAGAAGACACGCGAAGTACACTTCCGCATCTCCAGCTCGCAAATCGCAACTTTGTAGCAGAAGACACGCGAAGTACACTTCCGCAGCTCCAGCTCGAAAATCGCAACTTTGTAGTACAAGTCTAGTACGCGAAGTACACTTCCGCAGCTTTGGACACAGCTAAAACGCTGCCAAGACACTGTAATTTACAGTGCTTTGAGCAGTTTTCAACTGTTTCAAGCAAATGAAAAGCAAAACTGGCAAGCAGAAGTTTGCAGACGATTTGTGATTGAAGAGTTGTTGAACATGTGCATCTTTGCATTTTTTTGTTTGGGAAGGTCATGGTGCTCAAAGCGCTGTGCTGTCCCTATCGTTTGTGTTTCCAAAGCAACAAAAATATGGATAGTACAGCACTTTGGAGATCAGGGTGCTCCAAGTGCTGCACTGTCCCTGTTTGTTGTGTTTCCAAAGCAAAAAAATAGAGACAGCACAGCACTTTGGAGATCAGGGTGCTCAAAGTGCTGTACTGTCCCTATGTGTGTTGCTTTGGAAACACAAAAAAACAGGGACAGTACAACACTTGGAGCACCCTGACCTCAAAAGTGTTGTACTGTCCCTAAGATTTTCGGGGTCAGTCCATAACTCTCATTCCCGATCGCATCTCTCGCACCGATCGCAAGTTGTAACCACACCTTGGTCGAACAAGACGGCACCAAGACCAAAAAGACGACACAAATGGTGGGTTTCTAACGTCAATCTCACCCCAAAATTGGAACCCACAACCGGCACCCACCAATCCAAACCAAACACATCCCAACCACCAAACCGCCAGCCCGAGGGAGGCTAAAGCACCGGAATCCTTTTTCAACCCAGAACCGCTGAAGCCGCCGAAATCCGACATCGGGAAGTCCTTCACGGAGCCCCCAGCGTTGAAGAGCTCCACCTTGCCCAGCCAGTCGGCGTCCACGTCCTCACGGCGTCCCTTTTGGGTGGCTCGTCTTTAGGCGCGGATCGTCGCGCTTGGGTCGGTTTAAAAGGGAAGCCAAAAGAAAGACTTAGCCATGTTTCCTTCTTTTCATTTTTTTTTTTGGGGGGGGTCCGATTCCTAAAAAGACACCCAACTTAATTTGTCCAAGAATCGCTGAGAAGGAAACATCAAACATCCCTGAAAAGAATGGGAAGGGGTTGGCTAGAATCTGGGTGAGAGTTGCCTTGATGGCTTCCCTTCTTTCTAGGTGCCCTCTACAGGGAAGCCAAAACAACATATGTTGTACAGGGCCCCCCTATGGTAAGACACCGATTTGCTGCAAAAGGCTTGGAGGGTGTCCGAACCTGGGCTGCTGTTGACCCCTTTGCAAAAAATAAAACATTTGGAGGGTCCAATGGAAAATCCACTGTTGTCCAAACAAGTTGAAGTCCAAAGATAACCAAATCGCCATAAAGAACCATGCAACGTGTCTGCTACATTTTTTCATGGAAGCCACAAGGAGACGGCATCCAGCTTCCGGCGTTACATATTCTAAAGACTCCCCGCTCTCTCTGATGTTGCTGGTTCAAGAAGCCTCCCTTTTCAACGTTGACTGATTCGCGTGCAAGGACACCCTCCCAAGAAGAAAACAACCAAAGGCCGCCAAAGACAAACCGCGCCCGTGGCCGGCAGATGTTCTGGCACCACTGACCCTGAAGGATAACAAGCACACAACAAAACACACACAGGACACAAAATTGACAGCATAGGTTGGACACCTCACCCCAAAACAGCAATCACAGGAACCCCCTGCCCCCCCCCCCCAACAAAAAAAAAACACGACATTTCCCAGGTACACCCGCAAACCCGTCGCAAAACCTAAGCAGTCCCAGACAACCCCCCCCCCAAAAAAAAAAAGAAGAAAAAGAAGAGTTGTTGCGCCGCGCATCATGGCCTTCCCGCTTCCTGCCCCGACCAAAAAGCCCTTGGAAACACCCGAGGCGCCAGGAACTTGGAGAGCCGCGACATGCGCACCATGGGGGTAAAGCCGATCAAATCCAGCGCGCTGTCGCAGATCTTGCCTCACTCCCGTGGAACTTCTCGATCCGTGGCATTTTTTTGGTTTTTTTGTTCCCCGGCGCGCAGGCCGCGGAGCCTCCAATCCTGAATGAATAGTCTTGCCTCAATCCCGGACAAGAGCATATTTGGAGGCCCCCCATGATTTTTGTGGGTTTAAAGGGACACCAACAGCACAACTACCTCCTTTTTTTTGGGGGGGGGGCCCTAAAGCAGACACTCCCATTTGGCGCCTCAACTATGCCTCAACTATGGAATCCCTGAAAGAGTAAACGGGGGTGGGTAGTTGAGAGCCCGTTTGGGGTGCCTTACGGTTCTGCAGAGTTGTTGATCGTTAAGCTGACACTTTGGATCTCCAACAGGCCTCCCCAACAACAAACCAAAAACGTCGTCCTTACACCCTTGACCCACAACTCCCTTGCCCAAAGGACCCGACAAGAAAAGGTTAACCTTTTGGGGTCAAGACTAAAAATGGACCTCAAACAGGGCAAGCCAAAAGGTCAAAAGGTCGGCTTTGGGATCAGTGAAACAAAACGGGGTTTAGGCTGTCCTTTTGGTTTTTCTGAAACCCAACAAAACGGGCACGGAGCCTCCACAAAAAGCCAGACCCGAAACGACGGACCCACGCGCATTCGCTCGCGCGTTCGGTTCATGTCAGGTGGCTGTAGGGGCGGCCGCCCTTGGCCGGGCCAGTGGTGAGCTTCTTGAAGTCCGTGTCGATCTCCTAACCGGAGGTTCTCGGACGACTCAGAAAACGAGCCCGGGAAAAACCCTACCCCTAGGTCCGTGTGAAAACCCTAGGTCCATTTGGGGGATTCCTAGGTCCATTTACAGGATCCCTAAGTCCATTTGGAAATTCCCAGCTCCGTTTGGATTATCCCTACTGTGGATGGACGAAATCCGTTCGCACCACCTAAGAAACCATGGTTGAAACCAGATCAGAGGACTCCAACGGTTAAGGATGCGATTCCTCAACATAATTGCGGCAACAAACAATGGCTTCAACCATGGGTCCAAAAAGGTGCCGGATTTTCACAATCACCAGATTCCTGTTTGGGGGGATCCCTAGGTTCATTCCCAAAACCTTTGAAGCTCCAAACTGACCACCACCAAGTCAGGCTTGATATCCAGCCCAGTGGATCCATTTGGGGCGTTTCAAGAAGAATTCGGTCCCCTAAAATGGCAACGGGGTTCCCTCTAAATGCCAGACATTGGGGTCCACCATTTGAGAACTCCTCATTTGTTGGCCAACAAGCAAACCAAACTGTGTTTGTATTTTGTTGGGGGGAAGCCAGTCCCCCCCCCCCCCCACCCGAAAAAAGAAAGAAGGAAAGAAAAGAAACAACGGGTAGTAGTTGCCCTTCCAGCCAGATAGCCTTGAACATCATGTAAAACAAAATACAAATTGGTTGACGATTGCCCTTGCTCCCACAAACATAGCGCCTGTTTTTTGGAGGGCGAGCACCCGTCTGCTAGTGTTCAGCATGGGATCCCTAATCCTAGTCCATAATCCGTAGTGGGACACTACTACAAGGAAAGCCACTACCATCCGGCAGGATTTAGGACTGTGTGGCCAGTCAAGTGGGCAGTATGGCTCTTATTTTGAAGCTACCCAAATTTGTTGGGGCTGCTTGAAAGGGAAACCAGAGCGAACTTGCGGGAACATCACTTTGCCATTGCTGTTAATAACGTCGTTTGTTTGCCATTGCCCTTTCCAATGCCCTGGGTCGCACAGGCATCCATCTTGCTATTTCAGCACGTTTCTTCGCCAGTGCTTAAACAGCTTGTTCAGATAGGGGTGGGTCAAACTCGCGATCAAAATCTCGCGGCTTATCGTGGTTAGGACTGTCCCGGTCACTTACTAAGCTTTGTAAGGCCTTGGCTCTTCTGCAATCCTCAGTCCTGGCAGGATCAAGGACTTCAGGTTCGTATTCTGCCAACATGAGGGCCAACAAAAACGGTCCTAATGTCAGGCCACCTCCACCTCGGGGTAAAATTTGCAATCCCACTCATTTCGTTCTCCTCGTCCCAGCCCACGTAGTTCGGGGCCCGGATCTCGCCCTCCTTCTTCCTCAGTGAGCAGCGAATTTAGGTTGCCACAGTACTTGGACGTTCGGCCAACTGATTTGGTCATGGTACGAGCACTTGCATTTGAGGTAAGTGCCTTCCTTCAAATCATAACCAGGGGGAAGCCATAATTATTAGTATCCCCTCGAAAGCTCCACATACCTGATCCTTTTCTTAAGGATGTTTCTTGGAAAACCTGGCTTTTCATGGCCTCCTTTGTTAGTAAAGGGTTGACATGATGCCCTAAAAGAAGTGGGTATTTCAACTTTCAACCATTGGTCTCATTTGCAAAAGAGACTCTCAGCACAATACGATTGGCTGGCTATTTTCTGCGGGTCTTCTCAGTTTTGAGGCCAAACAGATTGGCCAATTTCTCATGAAGCAGTTTTACTTTGCTCCTTTGGACGTCACTATTTCTTCTACTTGGGTGTTTGGTTCGGTTCTAACCCACTTGCAAGTCCGCAGTGGGCTTGAGCCACGGATGGGTTACCCAAGTGACTAGGTCTGACTTGACTTGCGAATGGGGGATCCAAGACTTGAAACCCGAAAATGCTTCGGGTCCACTTCGCCAATGGCTATTGGGGTTTGCAAGTCAACAAGGAAACCCTTCCTTACATTTACCAGGATGGTCCGCAAGTTCCCAGTGAATTCGCCGGTAACTTGCCCCCAAGTTTTCTGGGTGACCCCCCTTGCGCCACTTGTCTGTCCTACTACACCCCAGCATATGCGTGAGTGTGGTGGAAACTCTCGTGGGTGACCCCCCAAGCACCACGCCCATCGCGCGCCGAGGGACTCGTCATAGGTCAGCTTCTGCAGCTCGCGGGCCCGCGCGATCACCGGGTCGGTCGAGAAGCAGCGGACAAACTGCGCCGGTTTCAGCGCCGGGCTGAGCGTGCGCCGCGCCATCCTGCCGAGCCCAAACGGAAGAAGACTCAGATGCCCAGTGGATTTCCATGGGAGATAAAGGGCATCCTTTTCTTTGGGGAACCCCTTCGCCAAGAAAAGGAATAAAGGGCACCACTGGGCAACAGAGAAGAGGTCAGATCTTCTGCTAAAAGCTTGCCTGTTAGAGGGTTCAATGGAAATCCAACCACTGAACCAGAAGCTAAGAAGCTAAAGGGATGGCTGCCTGTCTCAAGGAGCCTTTAAACATGGGGTAACCCCTAAAATTTAGGTTTGCGGCCCATGTTTTAAGGGTCAAGGAGACTATGATTTGTAGATGGCCCACTTCCACCAATTTGGATTGGTCATCCCCTTTACTTATTCACATCCAGCACGAAGTGTGTCATCTACATTCACCTCGGCGTGGAGGCAAAGAGACGCGTCAAGCTCCAAAGCTTGCCGAGCTACTTGTCTACACAGGGTGTGCTGTGCCTCATCCACGTTCTAGGCCCTGCTTACCAAAAATGGACATATCAACCAAAACCAGTTGTAAACGAGGTATACTGGGTTGGACACCAGGCTCCTTAAGGTGTACATAAAAAAAAAAAAAAAAAAAAAAAAAAAAAACGCACAAAAACAGCCATATCATATCCTAATATAATCATGTATTCAAATGGGATATAGCTGGAGTGTGTCCATTTGTGGTATTTACACCGTGCACTGAGAGCGACGGTCACAATGTCCCAGTGAAACAATTTTGGACCCCGGGCTTGGTTTTTGTAGCCCAAAATGATTGAGTCCCACATGTCCCCAACCCGAACCCGAAAGTGACCGGGCAGCTTCCGGTCATGAACCCTGTATTTTGCCTTGCACCCGTCTTTCAGGAAACGGTGTGGGTCCATACAGTTGTTCATCTGCATGGGTTGGTCAGCAAAGTCGGAACTTGTTGGTTACCACTGATCTGCCCAAAACGCCTAAAGTGAACGAATTTAAAAAGTGAGTTTATGAGCAGTGGGGATGTGGCAGCTCAAATCTATTTGAGGATGCTCAAAAAGAAATGGCAAATTTGGGCCCTGGTGCTGTTTACGTGTCCTTTGTTAGGCGTTTGATCACGGTCTAAAGAACTGAATCTCCCTCAACTGGCTTCCCCAAACCGAAGACAGTGCCAAACGGGTATGATGCGGGTGTGTCCTTCTTTGAGGAAACCCTTTTCCGGGTTTGTTCGAAAGGGAAACCAAAAAGGGAAACCAAAGGGAAACCAAAGGGAAACTACGGGACAAACCCATCTTACTTGTGGGGCATGACCAGATCCCACTCCTGCAGGCAACACCGCCAAAGCGGGACATGACAGCAGGCATTGTGCGGGAAACGGAATCAGCTCACGACGGTCTTCTCAAGTCCTATTCAGCCAAAACGGCTGCAATTGGCATCTTCCCAGCCGCGTGTGTGTGTGTGTGTGTGTGTGTGAGGTGGCTGCAAGCACAAAACAAGTCAGGTTTGTACAGTATCCCGATTTTGCGCGGATTGGCGAAAACATGCCTTCAGCCTATGTATGTTTCGGCTCTCTTCTTGGAATGTGTTTTGGCCTCGTTGTTTGGCTCCCTGGGCTCGATTGGGAAGCCTATGGGTTCAAAACGGGGATCGTTTTAGTGTCAGCGGTCCAAGGGTGCGTCGCCAAGCTTTGGCTATCCTACTCCAAATATCCACTTTTTGTAGGGTATGATGTCGACCTCTGACAAAAAACAAGGAGGTAGTTGCCTTGGAAACCCGGGCTTGCAACTAGGGGGTACACCCAACAAGGCTTGGACGCAACGGCACGTGGAATTCCGCGCCTACATCTTGCCTCGCCCGTTCGGTAGAGGCGCCGTTGGCATATGCCTCGCGACCCGCAACTCGCAGGGTTGATCCGGGGAGAATCCAGGCTTCAAGGCCACCGACAGTAAGGGACCATACTGTGGGAGGACGAAATTCTCCAGCGTGAAGAATTGTGAATGGGATAAACCACCACGCCATGTTTCTGTGGCCTGTGACTGAAACCTCAATTCAGAACGGCACAATACCCATGAATTGGGATAAACGACCTACCAACCAGTGCAGGATTTTGTCCGTCCACAGCAGGAATTCAAACCTCCATGATTTCCAGGGGCTGCTCCATTGTTCCTCGGGCCGAATGCCGCTGCCCAAAAAGAACGAGAAAAGCGAGGGCAAGCTCCTCCCGAATTGGCTACCCAAAGAACCACAGGAATCGCAAGAGACCTATGGACCCGGGTCCCACCCGTCTCTCGGGTTCCCATCAGATTGACATGCCATTTCCCGACAATTCAAATACTCCCCGCAAACCAGACCCATCACTAGACATGGACCCGGGTCTTTGTTTAATTACTGAGTGGCTCTTTGGTTTCAGGAGCGATTCCGGAAAACTACTCCCCATAAACCACAAACACTAGATGCTTGAGTCCCTGTCTAATCACTGTGTAGCTCTTTAGCTTCAGGAGTTCAGTTTCGATGGGAAGCAGTCGCCGAAGCTTCCAGGCGAAAAGCCCGGGATCTTCCGTCGGCTTCTTGGATTGGATCTTCGCCTCCAGAAATAAAATTCGCCAAAGGTCCCAAACCAATCCAAACCGAGAAAGGTACGAGTCAGCTTCCCCCTAATTGGTGATTTGGATTGGTGGTTTGGAGACTAGGGGTGTTCTTTCCCAAGAACCCTCTACAAGGACCAGGGGTTCTAATCCTCAAGCCACCAATCCCAACCAATTGGGAACTACCTGAACGAGGTCAGGCGCCAAATATGTCAAGTTGCCAAAAGGCCAAAAGAACAGCGACTGAGGCGATCCATGCCCCCCGGCTTTTCCCACGAGCTTCAAGTTGGCCCACGGAACCGGCCCCAAAACAGCCGGCCCCCAGTTCTCAGGGCCGCGCCGTTTGTACCACGCCCACCTTGACATCCTGGCGAAGCGAAAGAAGCCAAACATGACATGCTCTTCGCTTCTGGCTTCGACTCAATGTTTGTGTCAAAAGTAGTGGGACCCCCAAGTTTGTTGTTTTTGTCCTTGCGACTTTCCTCACCAAACCCAAACAGGTTTTTGCAGGGTTCCTCAGCTGAAAGCTACAAGGTCCGTGCCCAAATAGACCTATAAAAAGAACCTGGGCTTGTGTATTGCTTGTTTTCTTGGTGTTGGCGGAGAGGAAGGATTGTTGGAAGGAAAGATTCAATGACACCAACCCACAAATAGAGAATGAAAAACCGACATGGGAGCACACAACATGCTTCCAGAATGTCTTTGCCAGTAAATCCATTGACAGCACAAGCAGCGCTGTAGCAGCAAACCCTGCTTTTTGTTGCTGCTCCAACACTCTAGGCAGTGCTTCTGGTGGCTTGGTCAATGGAAAAACTTGGGAAAATCAACATGCGGCATGTGTCCTCTCCGTATCCCTTCTGAAATGACCGCTTGTGACTCATGACAGCCCATGAAAGATGCCAACACACACACACAGCCGGCATGACACTTGCCGGGCAGAGAACAAGCTGATCCACGATACGCTTCGTTTGTATTGAGAGGGCCTCCACCGTTGCGTCACAAAAACCAACATGGACCTAAAGATTCGGCCTTCCTCCGGCTTCCCAAGGGAGAGCCTCCAACAAAACGACAAACAAACAAAAGCAAACACACACACACACACACTCATCGGGCATCGGCGCTTTGCTCCAACTTGGACCAACCTTGGCACCAGCTTCCGTCAGCAAGGGCTTGATAAACCTCGAAGCTGGAAAGCCACTTGTGGCTTTCCAAGAAGACATGATTGCAACCAGCGGTTCGCATAGGTGTCCTTTTTGGTTGAAAATAGATGGGTTTTCCTGGTAGTTGATTGAACCACCAGGTAAACCAGGAACCGCCCGAAATGTTTTTCAACCAACATCAACCAAAAAGGACACCTATGGCGGTTCGGTTTGCGACAATCATGAGTTGCCTGGAGGAAAGGTGGCAAATGGAATCGCTGAAGTCCCAAGTTGTCTGCGAGGACATGTTGTTTGCCTTCTTTAAAGGGCCGCGCAGAGTCAAAGGGGTGATTTTCCCTGAAAAGCAACCTTGAAAACCAACCTCCAAACCAAATGTTCCCTCCAAGCCAACCTTGAAAAAGCGTACCCTCGCACACACACGCACCCAAGTGCAGCCACAAGGCCCAGATTCCAATGACATAAAGCTCTTGTTGTAGACTCAGACTGGAGCTGAAAGCTAACTTTTGCTGGCTGAATCGGAAAATGAGGGAAACCACAAACGCAAACAGTTGAAAGGGTCAGTTGAGTCTGGCAATCTTAAAGCCGCATCCTCGAAACACGAACCCGTGGGAAACACGGGAAACCCTGCTGGGGTTGCTCCATCTGTTTCGTGCAAACATGTAACCCAGGATGGGCGGCTGTGTGCCACCTTTCTCGCGACGAGTCCTGTTTTCCAACAGGAAGCCCGCACCTTCTTCTGTTGTCTTCTTCTTTCTTTGTTTTGTTGGGGGGAGGGGGGGGGGGGGGAGGCGGGGACCAACGATTTCCCAATGTCTTTGTTGGGGGGCACCTGCTTGCTGTTGTTAAAGGAAACCATGTCAGAGCTCGCCTTGAAAGGACATGCCAATCCGACTGGCAACTTGGGGAACTGAAAGCCCCAAGTGCCGGTCCCCCATTTTTCCGCGCTCGCGCTTGCGGGGGGTCCGGCTTGCTCAACTCTGCGAATGGCGTGGCCGCTGTCTCATTGGCGCTGGGAATGTGCCAAAACTCCACCTCTGGAGGCCAAAAAAACTACTTAACCCCAAATATGTTCATATTTGATGACCATATATATATATATATAATGTTAGAAAAGAGATCTCAGAAGGAACCTTAGATCGTTTTGGCCACATTCCAATTTGAAAAGCCAGGTGTCGCTTTTGAATCTCAAGTCAAGATTCCAAAGTCCAGACTGGGACTGACCAGTCGTGCTTCCAAAAAAAGGGAACCAACCGCAAACCACCCACTTTGAGGGGCCCCTCTTTTTGGAAACACCCAAAGGAGGAACTGCCAACCAGTGGATCTGTGCACAGGCTCTAGGCCCTCCTGTGAAACACACGCATAAGCCCTGCAAAAAAAATCCCTGTGCGCGCGTTTCGGCGCAAACAGGGCCATGCGTCACATCTGCGAGCAGACACATCGAGGGATGTGTTTCACGAGCTTACAAAAGGCGCCCGGAACGATACGGGTGCCAAGCCCCACGATGGTGGTAGTACACGGCAGCCTCGCCCTGCTCTCCAATACGTATTCCAAAGAGCTCGGGCCCAAGCTTTGTCCTCGTCCCCGTTGATCCGTGGCAAAAAGCTCAACAGACTTCAACGTTAAGCGGGATATGACGTAAACCTTTTGTCTAGGTTCAAAAAAGCCCAAAAGCCTAAGGGCAACTCTCACTTCCTGAGTGGATGGCCCAAAAAAGTCTGAACTTCTGATTTTGCAACACCAAAACAAGTGTCAAGTCCAGCGCAGAAAGTGAGGCCATCCTAACCGAGCCTCGTGGTGAGGAAGTAACGAGCACCTTCCCCCAGGTCTCCCTCCGAGCGGTCCTCAGGAATGGGATTTGGCCACTCTTCTCAAATGCCCAGTGGATTTCCATGGGAGAAGAATCGGCATCCTTGGTTGATTGAGTTTAAAAGGGAACCCTTGCCCACAGGGAAAAAAGGGGCCACCACTGGGCAACAGGGCATTGTTTGAACTTTAAACGACCTTGTGTTCGCTTCCCTTCAATGGCGACCAAGAATTTGGTTGGTTCAAGCAAGCTTTGCCCAACTCTCACGCTCCTCTACCGAGTGCTGCTGCAGCCACTCCCAGCTTCGCTCAGCCCCGAACACTTGCACCACCTAGACGACTGACCAAATGATGCCAGCCCAAGAATGGCAGTCCACCCAAAGAACCCTGTCGTGCTCTGCTCAAAACGGGGTGATTCCTGATCATTCATAATCCATACCGCGCAGCTACAAGGCACTACCCGCAATATCCTTTTGAAAGGTCATGATTGAAATGGCCAAACTCTATCTTGTTGAGGAGCGCCACTCTTCTACGACATGATGTCAACCCTGGCAAAAGAAGCGGCTTTGCATGGGAAAGATGCTGTTTCACTCACCATACCCGCACCAAAAGCGGATATTTGAAAGGGACGGCACCCCAATAACCCTGTCTGGTGGGTTCGACGCAGATCCCTTGTTGAATACATGTTACATGGTTCAAAATGACCCAATGTTGTGGTCTTCCCACCTCAATATGGACAGTGATTATTGGGTAGCACGGGTCCGAACAGTTTCAAAGGGAACCTGCCAGCAACGGTAAACAAATATGTAGTAAGTCCACCATCGTCCCTCCCAAATCGACTATATACGCCAAGCAAACATAATTTGACTGACCTTCATGCCCCTCCTGGGCACTAAAATGGAATCCACCCGAGGGTCGTTTAAACGAAAATTGTTTCCAGCTGTCAGGCTTCATAATATTAATGAATGGAAGGGCAATCCTAGAACCAGAACAAAGCCTGTGAGTATTTCCATGAAGGCCCTTTTGGTTTCGTGTTGGTTGCCGTTTACAGCCATCCAAACGGCGGGTTTCATAAGGAGACATGCCCACAAATGGGGTCCCCCGAAGTGGGGTTGTTCCTGGTTGGAACCCAAGTGACCAGCCACTTGCTAAGTTGGCGAATCGAGCATCCAAGTAACCAGGCATGTTCCTTTTGGTTTGTAACGTTGTAAGGGGTGGTTCCCTTGGTTACCTACTATATATATGGTTCTCAGGGAATGAGAATTGGAATGTCCCCATATAAAACCATCCGCTATGGTTTCCTTTCATGATTAGAGTTCCCAGTTATAGAATGTACAGTAGATGTTCCTGTTTGCTTCGCTTTGAGTCATTGGTAAAATGTAAACTGTATCCTAAGTCTACCCCAGTAAATATTGCAAGTAATGGAAGAAGGAAAGCAGTCATTATGTCGTTTGCCCGCAATTTACCCTGGTTCTGTGCTTGAGTGTGGTTGTGGTGTGCTTGCCATATTTCGAGCATCCACCGTAACCGCCGTACCCCCCACAAATACATTCGCTTTCGGGGTTTGCCTCGAAGGTGACGTGTCTGATGAAGCAAAAGGCCGCGCCGAAGCTGCGCCAACTGCCAGCGGCCAGGCGGCAGAGCGGAGGATGGAGAAGGAGACCTGAGCCGAAACTCGGTGGCTTTCTGCAAGCAAAGCAAATAACTTTTAGCGGTTTACTGGAAAGCGAACAGTTTAGCTTTTAGTAGTTTACTGGAAAGATAAGAGTTTCTCTCTTTTGGTGGTTTCTTGGGGAAAACCCATTAGTTGGCAAAAAGTTAAAGCCCTCACATCCAAGCAAAACGCACCAAAGAAAACCAAAACCGATCGGTACCAAAAATGGTGAACCCAGAACAGCTCAGATGCCCAGTGGATGTCCATGGGAGAAAAAGAATCGGCATCCCTTTTTGTGGTTGGTTGAGTTTAAAGGGGAAGCCTTCCCCAAGAAAGCAAAAAGGACACTGGGCAACAGAGACCATGTAAGAAATTGAAAAGGCGGCTGCAGCGGCTGCAACTATTTCTGGCTGGGACTGCCACTGCCCCTTACTAACCTTCATCTACCCAGGTTTTGATTGTGACTCACCTGGGTCAAAATGATCCAACAACTTGGCCCACCCTCTGCTTAAACCATGGATTAACAGCCGATTGCTTAAACAGCCTCCTTTGAATTTCTCTCTAAAGAGGGCCTGGGTCCAACTGCTTAAATCAATTTTGCCAAACCCCAAAATCGATGGCTCGAAATGAGTGATCAAGCTGAGGCCAAACTGTTTTCTAAGTGGATAAAAAGCGTGATGTTGCAAAGCTTGAAACTGCACAAGGTCAAACAGGGTCCCTTGCTTGGATGACCAGCCCAGTTGCGAAGTGGCAGTGACCCCGGTTAGGAAGTCTGTGACATGGCTTGTCTGTAGGGTAATTCCTGCTGGATAGGGCTACTTACCCACTTTCTAACTGGTCTGGTCATCCACCTTCAATGACCCCCTGAAACATCTACCAAACAAACTTTAAAAGAGCGGTGCTGGGGTACTCGTTCCTAGGGAACCGCCAGCAACCGAGAAACCACCCCAGAGAAGATGATGAGCAACTCTGGGAGCCTTGCCAAGTGGACGATCCTCCAAGATGCTCAATGTATCGCCGCACGCGGCATCTATGCCTCAGCCCAGTGGCCCCGGGATACAAAGGGTGCCCCTTCTTCGTCGGTTGATTTCGGCGGGAAACCCTGCCAAAAAGAAGAAAAGGATGCCACTGCAGAACTACGTTGCGCTTTCCAGCTGTGCCACCTGTGCCCGAATCGCTACCCTCTCCTCCCTTGTGGCCAGTATGGGTCATTTCCGCATCGCTGTCACTGTCACCTATGTGGATGATCTTCATTGGACCTTGGGCCCTTCGGTGTATGCGGGCAGAGCGCGCTTGCTGCACAAGAAGGTGGATCTGCACAACGACCAGCGCGTAATTCGTCGAATCCGCCGATTCTGCCAGTCTCTGCAGCCCCAAGACGCACTGCAAGTGATGGTGCCTTGGTTGCAAGATCCCCTGTAAGCTAAGCAGACAGCTGCCAGGCAAGCGCGAGGAACTCAAGGGAACCAGTTCCCAAAGTCCATTCGCTATTCCCAGGAATTGTCCATTCGCCTTGAATTGTGAGAGAGCCAGTTGGGAGCCCGATCTCCTTTCCTTGGACCTGTTTTGGCTCCTTTCAACGTGCGGCAAAAATGAGCGCCTTTTCTTTGGCAGCTGACTCCCCATTCCGCATGAAGGGAGGAAACACGCAGTGCAAAGAGCAGCCAAACTGCGAGGTGAGGAAATCCCGTTGCTCGTCCCAATCTCCCGAACCGCAAGACATTTGCAATCCCCGCGGGAAGCTGCATGTCTCGGGCAACCGAAGTATGGCGTACAGCACATCACCCACAAACTCACGTAGCCCATCCACAGCTTTGGCATCGAACTCATTGCTGTTCATGTACCTTGGCCAAGCTTCCCGCTGCAAAAGTTGTGATTTGTTGCTGGGCAAAAGGAAAGATTAATCAACCCCAACAGGGCAGAAGGACAAAAAGGCTAAATCAAGCGTGGCAACCCGATCCTGCACAGACGTCAGCCAAGAGCCGGAAGATCCATCTCTCCTCTCCTGGATTGAGAATCGATTGGGGGGAATCGCTGTAGGATGATCGGAAGGAACTTGGTCTGGATCTTCAGGGCACATTCCACCTCAATCGCGGAAAAGGCACTTACGGTCACCAGGCATGTCCGTTTGCCGCATTGGAAAGAGGTTGGCACAAGTCAATAAGAACACTGTGCGCTTTAAAGACCCCAAATCCCCTGAAAGGGGGCGGAAAGGCTCAAAATACGGGGGCCCAAGTGCCACATGCCTATCACAGCAGACATCCCGATCCGACTTCTGCAGAGCTCAAATTCTCACCTTTATCTGAGTATATCTTTTCTATTCAGGGGGCCAACGGCAACGAGTCGGGGGAAAGAACAAAAATGATCCACCGGCCCAACGGCAACGAGTCCAAAAAAACACACACTTTACCAACCAACCAATTCGGGGCTTCGAGCCACCCATCCGCTTGGCTCACCATGGCCTTGAAGCTCTTTCTCGTCCCATTTCTAGGGGCTTAGCTGATGAAGCAGACCCTCGAGCCCATCCGTCTCCCATGGAAACAACAAACCTAAATCACTGGGTGTATGAACTGGTTGTTTGAACTAAAAAGTATCATTTAGGTTCTCACAATTTAGATGATGACAACCTAAAACGCGTTCACGGCGCATGTCCCATCGAAACTCACCAGCCTGAACGTGTTGCCAGACCTGTTGGGCTCAGAACTGCCCAGTCAACTTGGCCAGCCTATGGGCTGACTCCCGCAAAAAAAAAACGAGTCAACATAGGGGAAACCCCCATTTGGGGGACCCTGCAGGAGCCCCCATATCTGGGACCCCCATTTCGCTGTAGGTCAAAAATATGTACCCCACCCTGGTAAATGGAAACAATGACTAAAACCTGTGGTCCAATTCCTGGTTTAATTTTGACCCATACCCATTTGGGGGAACCCAACAATCAAGTTCGCCAACGCCAGCGTGCGAGGAGGTCGAGTCGAGTCGGAGGTCGAGTCGCCGCAAGGCTCCAGCTGCCCTTACGCAGCTCCGTGCCTGCCGCCAAAGCCCAGGGAAGGAAGAAGTCCTGGAGGTAAGGCCCACGTGGATGTTCCATTTGCCAAGGGAAGCGGCTGGCCATTGGGGTTCCCCCCCTATATCAAGGGGCCCACTTGAGTCACTTGCTCAAAACCCAGTATCAAGATGGACGTAATCCCAGAACCATGCTTCAAGCAACTAAATATTTCTGGCTGGGACTGCCCGTACTAACCTTCATCTACCCAGGTTTTGATTGATTGTGGCTCACTTGGATGTTTCATTCGCCAAGTTAAGCGGCTGGCCATTTGGTTCTTTCCACCCCCGTTATATCAAGTTGTTAGCCCCGCTGAGCGGAGGGGGAACCAAAAAAATGGGGTATCCGCCGACATTGTTCGGCGTGTCGGATACCTAAGAGTAGAGGATAACCCCCCCTTAGCCCCCCCCCGGGACACGTCAATTACGCAGGGGTTCGTCCGTCCCCCTCTCCCACGTACCGCGCAGCAATTTGATGACGGTCTGATAAAAAATAATCTTCGGGGAGCGGGTCTGGAGAAACAGGGGTCCCAGGCTCGAATCCCCCTGCCGCCCCTCTCTGCCGGCTCAGGTTTTGCGCTTCCTTTTGCTGAAAACATCGAAAAAAACACGGTGTTTTGTGCTTTCCCTTTGCTGAAACCATTGAAAAACACAGTGTTTGTCGACTTCCTTGACCACCTTCTTTGCGTGACTTGTAGAGGGAATGCAGATGAGTTAAGCCATGCTTGTAGCAATAACTCTTTACCCCCAATGTCCCCCCAACTTTCCCTTTCCCCCCAATGCTCCCCCCCAATGTCCCATAAATGTCCCCGCAAATTCCCAAAAAATCCCCCCAACTTCCCTCCAAATTTCCCCCCCAATTTCCACCCAAATTTCCCACAAATTGATAGAGGCAAGCTCTAACAGATGAGGTGTGAGAAATGCAGGGGAGATCAGGGGAGATGAAGGGGGAATGCAGGAGAAACGAAGGGAAATGACAGACAGTGATGAGGAAATCAACGGACGCGAAGGGACATGTAGGGAAATGGCTGGCAATGAGTGGGACATAAATCGAAAATGAAGCCGAAATACCGAGAAAATGATAGGGACATGAAGGTGGAATTGACAGGAAATGAAGGGGACATAACGAGGAAATGATAGGCAGTGCCACAACATGAAAGGAACTGACGGGACATGAGAAGGAAATGAAGGGGCAATCAAGGGGTAGATAAAGAGAGAGAGGATGGAGAGGAGAGGGAGGGAGGGAGGGAGGGAGGGAGGGAGGGAGAGAGAGAGAGAGAGAGAGAGACAGAGAGAGAGAGAGCTTGGAGATGTTCGTCCGATTACAAACAAGCCAAGAGAAGGGAAGAGAAGAGAAGATAAGAGAAGAGCAGCGCAGAAACAGGAAGAGAAGAAGAGGTCAATGTCGGCGGACTGAGCCGGAGGCTCTAATGTGTCCTAGTTACCAACAACTTACTTTCATGATGTTTTTGTTTTTGCTTAAGGGTCAGTATCAATTTCACTGAAACTCAGGAGCATAACAATACTTGAGCAGCGCCCAAAATGTATTGACCTGTTCTACCAACATGGTTTTAAAGGCTTCCGACGACTTACTGTCAACCCCGTGACGCCAGGTAGTAAAGCCATCTACTCTACACATTCGCAAGTGACCCCGACCCCAATCCATGTTCGTCCTGGGTGAAACAGTGTCTCTCACGGCATTTGGTGAAAGACGTGTGACGGCCTTGGTTTAGCGGGTTACCCAGCCCAAAAACAAACAGAACGAACAAGACAACCCAAAAGGGAGGACAACCAGCCAAGCCAAGGCCGAACCCTACTTGAACCCTACTTGGCCAAAAACTCTGCTGCACATGCAAGTGCGCTTGCAAACAAACCATATCAAGAATGGCGGCAAAAGCACTGCGGTGGCATGGGTGCGCTGAAGATCATGCGGCTGCCACTGTACCTGGTTGCTATCTCTGCCAAAGCTTGGGCTTACCCCAAGCCACACATGTCGGCACCTAAAACGGCGGCGGGGACAGGAGGAAATTGCGGCCTGAGCAAAGGCGCCTCTTGTAGGCCGCAAGTCTTAAGGGCCCCGAAGTATTATTTTTTTGGTCTAAGCTGTATCAACCAAGATTGCATTTTGGGACGTCCAGATGTTTTTGCAGGTGCTGTCGTCCGGATTTCGGCACTGTGTCTGCAATTGCCTGCAAAGTTTCCAAAGCGCGTGGCATCACGGACGGATGACAACACCTGTGTATTTTTTGCGAAAGCCGAAAAGACACATGCTCTTGATAGAAGAAGTCCTCTGGGCTAGATCATTTTCTTCCCAATATTTTCTTTAGGCCTCTTGGATTGCACGAAAGTAAGCATCAAGTGCGGGAGGGAGTTTCGGCTAGTTTGCTTCGGCATTGGCATCTTTGAAGTTGGTCAGAAGTTCTACCAGCTTATATCTAATGGCAGTCCTTCTTCATTTGAAACCGTCAAAGTCGGGCTGTTCCATTTCAGAGGTTTGCCCGCATTATCTATCTTTTCCAATAGGTCACCCAGTGCCAAGAGCACTCTGCCAAACCTTCAATATTTCAGGGATGCTGAGCTGAAGGCTGCAATTGGCTGAAACAGTCACATCCTTCAAGGGTATGGCACACTGGCGTATCACGGTTCGCTAGGTGTCTTCTTGATCTGCGGACTTATGTTGCGCCATGGCGTCCAAGAAAATTTTGCTTGCCTCTGCAATATGGTGAATTGTTCCAGAGAACCACTGCTGAATGTGCGTATTGAAGCCACACGCTTCTTTCATAGAGCCTGGTTTGCGTGTTCGCCAAGTGCTCTGGCACGCTTAGCACCTGTGTTACCTACAAGTAGTACAAATCTATGGCTTCGCAATAGTCCCTATGCGATTTGATTTTACGAAGCTCTGGATCCCAAGTCAATGGCGTATTGGCTGTCGGAAAAAAATACCATGCGCGCATCGTGGCTCAAAGCAAGTCAAATTGCATTTAACTCTGCTCGGTTAATGGTTTGTCTGCCTGGCACGCTTGCACTTTGAAGGCGCCTTATGTGGCCGGCACCCTATAGGTCGACAAATAGTGCTCTGCTACAGCACTTCTTGCCTCATCGGTTCTGAGAATTATGCAAGATGCCTCATTTACTCGGGGTCGTCTTGCGCGCTGCAACTACCATCCACGAAGATCGTGTGGCGCATGTCCGCATGTGCGCTATGAAAGTTTGCACGTTGCTTCACTCAAGGTATCACGGGAAGGTAGTACACCATGTAAAACCATCTACTGAAAAAAGCTCAAGTGATATCCCCAACAGCATGCGCTGCTCTGTTTAGTGCTTGCACCATCCCGCAGCCCTCGCAGAATCTTGTGGAACCTGGTGGCAACCCTGGTGGAACTGTGGTGGAACTCTGGTGGAACCCCCTCGTGGAACCTTTCCTCAGGCCCGCCCCAGAGCCTATCGGAGACTCCCCAAAGCTTTCAGCTGTTGGGGAATTACGAAAACTGGCACTAGAGCAAAGGGTTTTGCAAAGTGCCCAAAAGTGTTTATTTTTATCTGATTCTCTGAGAAAAAAGAAGCAGGCAGGTCCCCCCGACTCCTCGGTCCCAAACTCCATGTCCGCCTTTGCCAGCTCCTCTACGTGCTCCAGGGCCACCAATGCGATGCCCCGCAAGGCGTCCTCATCGAACGGGGTCAAAGCGAAATATCTTGCAAGCAAATGGTTCTAGAGTGGCTCAAACATACATGCATGACGGCCTTCGAAGCGAGCAGAGCCGAAAACAATTGCACAAACCGCGAACCGCGTGAAAACGACGAACCGGACGAGCCGGAACCAGCATAAACCGCAAACCACCACGCACCAAACCGAACCAAACCGAACGGAACCGACCAGCAGAACCCCGAACCGCGCTGCTGCGAACCGGGCCCACGCTCATGCCATTGTGTCCACTTGCCCACGCAACATTGCCTTGCATCGCCTCCAGAAGGCCTTGACGTTCGAAAAAACAAGAAAGCCTTTGCTCGTTTCAGGCTCAGGAAAAAGCAACAGCTGCCTTCCCAGTTGCAAACCTTTGTTACTTGCTTTTCGGGCAGCGAAACACGGTTGGAAGACGGCAAAAGGAATCAGGCTGCTCTTTTTTTCGGGGGCCCAGAAAAGCAAACAGTCCTGTCCCAAAATTTTGCTGTTTGCTTGTGGGGAGGGAAACAGAAAATCGAAAAGGCCTTTCCTTCGCTGTTCTCTTTGCTTTTATCGGGGCCCGGAGAAAACAACAGAAGGGCCCCTCAAAACGGGTGGGTTTTTGACAGACACACACACACACGGATTTGGTATTGTGGGTATGTTTATTTGATACTTTCCCAAAAGATGAACACCTCAAGAACACCGAAACACATGTCAGACCCTAACTCAGCCAGCATGGACACATAGGGTCTAAACCTTGTCGGTTTTCGCTCTTTGTGGCTTTCTCGAGAATTTTCTCACTTTTCCCAAAAACACAAAACACTCGTGAAAACCAAAAACACAAAACAGATCAGACCCTAACTCAGCCAGCATGGATACATGGTGTCTGCTTTTCTGTTCTTGGTTTTCTCGAAGTTGTTTGCCTTTAAAAATGCAAAACTCGAGAAAAACAAACATATGTCAGACCCTAACACTCAGCCGTCTGATTTGTTGTTGTTGGTTCTCTCGAAGTTGTTTGCACATTAAAAAACAAATGCGAAACTCGAGACAACCAAAAGAATGTCAGACCCTAACTCAGAAGTCAGAAGTACATGGGCTTGATTTGCTGTGTTTGTTTTGGTGTTCTCAAGATTTGTTTGTTTTTGAGGTTGGGGTCAGCAAGAACAACCAAATATCCGCAAGAAGGAAACATGTGCCATCGCGGCCTAGGCATTTCACCTGCTAACCGCAACCGAATTTTATTCACATGAACTAGAAGAAACAGCCAGATTGTCTTTTCTTACTAGACTTTCTAGAACAAAGGCTAAAATGTAAATTTAACGCCCTAGAGACTTGGAACGGACACCCCACCTACATTCTGAATCAAAACAATAACTGACATTGAATCAGTTAGAAGAACCTACCAACCTGCCTTCCCTCACTAAAATCTAGTTTTACACATGTCAGACAAAAACATATTTGGACAGAAACTCCTTTTCAGATTTGGAAGGAATTCCTGTTTACAATATACTTAAAAAGTACTACAACACATATACATATATATTTATATGACAAAATTCTGATTCAAGGCATGAGTGGAAAGATTCTTACCCGTCTAAACTAACAATTAAAATTCAAAGTTGTAACCAACTTCTAGTTAGAATCCTGCTTGGAAGGGAAGTGCCGAACTATATCTAATTCAGGGAAACGAACTGAAGTCTGATCGAAATCCAATTTCAATGTAAATAAAGCCCTGCAAACCTTGCCAAACAAACTGTAATAAAATCAGCTTTTTCGAGGCTTGCAAACTCGAAGAAACGACAAGCTTCTCTTTCCTTATTGGATTCCCGTTTAAAAACCTACTTGGGAAGGGAACCCTACTTAGTTAAATTCAACATATTATGCACCCCTGTTCGCTTTTCATTGGCCCGCAAAATGCAATTGCCTGGTTGCAGCGGTTATACCCCTGTGCCAGTGAACCGGCGCGAAGCGCGAACCGAACCAGTCCAACGTGATTAAACAAGAGATTAGACGGAGAAACCTCACCCGCCCCACAAAAGTTTCCAGAACCCGAAACTGAAACGAACTGAAGCCAAACTGCATAGGTGTACACACATGTGTACAGGTATGTCATGTGTACATGATTGAATTAACCTATGGCCAGCCCCCTAACCCCGACCCCCCCCGGCCAGTGGACTGGTGGTGGTTGGAGTTGGTTTGGCTTCACTTAGGACTGTCGGCTTCGGCTTTGCTCGGGAAGGGTTGGTTTCGGCAGCACCTGACCCTGCCGCCCTGTGGAGTGGTGTTGGTTGGGGTTTGCCACCAACGCAAGGTTAGAAGAAAGCTGTATCTTCGTTTGCGCACTTCGTCTGCTCAAATGCTTGTTTGCGTGTGGTTTGCACGTTTTTGGGAAATGGCGCAGGCGAAGCTGTTTGTTGAAGCCTTTGACGCTTACAGCTCAGATAGCTTGTCCTGCGTCTCAACCTAGGCCTGGTTTAGACAAGCATTTTGTGGCAAACGTGGCACCCGGGCGCAAAAACCAACTAGCACTTGGACTTGCCAAAATGTCGTCAATAACCCCTGCCAGCCCGCAATTTGCGAGCAACATTCTGTAACATTGCGCAAATGTCCGCAATTGTCCGCAATTGCGCGCAGATACATAGAAGTTTTCACGTGCAACATGCATGTGCACTTTAGACCTTTTTAGGCGAAAGATCGAAGCGCCCGAATTGCCAACCAAAAGATCGATTTTGAGCCAGATGTGGTCGAGCTGCGCCGCTTGGCAGAGCTGCTCGAAATTTTTGGAAACTCAGAGTTGAAGCAACCCCCATCCCTCAAAAAGTGCAGCAAAAACTGAAATTTCACTGGGTACCCCCCCCTGTCAAATTACAATTCTTAGGGGGGAAGGTTGTTGAAGCTTGTTTCCCTTGACAATCAAGCTGGCAAAGTTTAAGGCTAAGCCCGCAGGAAGCGATGATTTGGGGGGAGTTCTGGTCGACAAGGCGCGCATTTCCTTGCCTAGTTGTGTTTGAACAGCTTGACAGATTGATGTCCAGGCTAGACACACGCCGCGCCTTACCAGCCAAAAACGCCTCGCGCAGTTCTTGGAACTTTGCAAGTTTTTTGCTTGAAACGCACACTTGTTCATCGCGTGCATTTGTTTTGCTCAAATGAAGATACAGCGAAGATTAAGCACACACGACTTCTGCGGGTTCCGTTCCTTCGGATGCTCGAAAGTTAGCCTGATCGCGACGCCTGGTCCTGCTCGGAGCGAGCTCGGAGCGTGTTCGGAGCAAAGAATCCTCAACGAAAGGTTCAAGACCCTGATGAACTACTTCAAGAACACGCTGAAGAAAAGAACTACTTCCCGAAGGGAACCACTAACGTGTATCTTGACAGGCTCCTCAGTTTCTTCAATCACAAAAGGCAGAACACCAAGTTCCTCATATTCACATCCAAACTAGAAATCCTCCTCAGGAGAGGCAGCCTGGACTACCTGATGCCAGTCTATACGGCGCAGTCACCACAATATCTTCCCCCCGTAACAGAAGTCAATGCAAGAACCATTACCCGACATCAGCAAGCAGCCAATGTCAAGGCACTGCCTCCAACATTGCTTATGCGACGCAGCTTGTCGCGACGCGCGCTTGATGCATCAATCATTTGACGGGGGCCCCCCTCACCGTTAATCCAGCGTGTTACAGTTTTGGGGGGGGGGGGGGCCGAGCTGCATGATATATCGATTTTTTTTGAGGGGGGGCCGCCCCCCCACGCGACCCTCATTTCCAATGATAAATCAGACCCTTTTCTGATCGACGGAGATTTTGACCCAGAGCTGAGGTAAAAGAGACTCCAGCTTAGCTCCAAGGAGCTAGCTTTCATGACTGTTTAGAGAACCTTCAATCCTGGGCAACTCCCCACTTTGTTCAAGCACGTTGAAGTTGGCTTCCGCTCGCAGATTCCCCAGGCAGCTGTTTAGAGAATCTTCAATGCTCAGCCCTCAAGCCTTCGTGAAATCGAACAAAATAAGATTGGCCCTGCCAAAGCTGACTTAAATAGATTGAAAGAGAAATGAACTATAGACATGTGTATATATATATATACATATATACGTATGATATATCTACATATATATATATATACATACACAAATATGTATATATAAGTTATATAAGATATGTATATCTACTTTCATAAGAATGTAACTGTTCAAGGACAGGATGCTGCATCGGTGGGTGTGATTCGCCTGGAAGCAACAAAAGTGCCAAACTACAACGCCGTGGAAGACTCATTGACGAGTCCTGCTTCTAAAAAGGGCCCTTAAACAGCCAGCACCCTGCTTCATGGCTGGGGGAAATGAACTCTTGTGATGGCAAAGCGGGCCATCTCCATAACGGCATAAAAGAGAACTTGAAAGGGGCCTCCCTTGATTCCCTTCCATTTGGATAAGACCCCTGGAAAAACATCCAGTAGTGATAAATTCCCTTCAACACCAACAAGGGAAAATACAAAAAATACTAATTTCAGCAAATGGAAGTACTCTAAAGTCTAAAGGGGACTATATTACAGCTAATGGTGCAGCTCGCATTTTCCAAAATGGCCATGGGTCAAACTCCCGTACCCCCGGTGAACATCCCAATCCCCACTAAAATCGGTTCTAAAATGGGTGGCGAATTCACCTACCCCAAAATGGGACCGCATTGGTTTTGACAACCACAGCCAAATTGCAGCAAATAGCGCAGCCCCATAATTTTCCTCCTGGTAGAGGTTCTCCCACAGCGCCCTCTCGGCCCAGAACTTCACCCCGCTTTGGAAGTTGGAGAGCGCGGCGCCCACATCGAAGACCATCGCGCGCTGTGAAAAAAAGCCGCCCACGAGCCGACTGCACGACGACAGCGGTTTGCCCGAAATCCATGAACAACTGAAAGGAGAAACAAACATGCTGGGAAGCACTTCATTTCGAGACGCACCCATTTAGCGCTTCAACCAATGCAAAGCCAGTTGCAGCATGTCATGGATGTTGAATCCTAGCTATAAACTTCCAAAGCAGGGCCGCAGCCATCATTTGGACCCTACGCCTTCTTACAGAGAAGCCCCGGCTCTGAACCAATGCCCTAAAGTACCATCTGGTCAAGGCAGGAACGTGGCATGACCCGTAAAAAAAGAAAAAAAAGAAGAAAAAAAAAAGGAAAAAAAAAGCAAGCAATGCAAGGGCATCCTGTATGGCTTCTGGGGGTATGAAGGCTACCACTACACTTTTCGGCAAGCTATGGCTGGTACTGGTACCGCACACCTCCATAAAACCCACAATGCCTGGCCCACTGGGCGCTTGGGCGCTGGGGCCCGGCGCCATGTCCCTCTTGAGCCGCGGTCGGAGTGCTCTGAGGCTTGGTGCGCGAGGGGACCTGGATGTTTCTTTTGTTTGAAGGTGCCCTGGGTACCCTGTTCACCTTAGCTCAAAGGGAAACCAAAGGGAAACAAACCTGTTTTGCCCCCCCCTCCCATTCTGACATTATTTGTATTGTGACTGGAGGACTGGCAAACAATTTCAGGGGCTGATGGGCCCATCAGCGGGTTGGGTGAACCGACATTGAGCAGCTGACACTCTGGTTGAATCAGGGAGTAAACCAAGACCCAAACAATGCAAGGTTTCCCAAACCGGGCTCCCCAAACTGGTTGCGTAAAGCCCCTTCTTGGCTTTTTGGACATGGACGCTTCTCATCACACCGAGTTTGCCCGGCCAGCGGGCCAGTCTTTCCTTTGTTTCCTTTGATTTCTTGTGAATGCAACCGTTCGAAAGGAGAACTCACTTCAAGTTTGCCCCAAAAGGAGAATCCATATAGACGTTGACCTGGTAGCCACACAAGCGCCTTGTAACAGGGGTTTCCTGGATTTCCCCTGCAAAAGTAGCAACTTGCTTGTGGTTTTTAAGGAAACTGCCGCTTTGCAGGTTCCAAAAAGGGAAATGGAGGAGCCCTGCATAAACCTACGTAAGAGGACAAAAAATAGGAACGCCCTGAAGTGGGCCAAGCCCTTTCTTAGAGGCCCGGCGAGGCCAGCAGCAGCGCGATGCGGTCTCCGTCCAGCAGGCAGAATTTCCCGTCCTGGCAAACGTGGTGGCGTAAGAGGAACTCAGATGGGCATCGCTAATGTCGGAGGAGGTTGCCACCGAATTGCTGCAGAGTTTCCCCTGTTCCCAACGCTTGCAATTTCGGAGCGGCCTTCGGACGTGGGGTTGGCTCTGAAAAGTACAGCTAGATGAAAATGAGACTCTCAATTTGGTGGGATGGCTCCTGTACCAACATAACCTTGCAAGTTGCAAGTTGCAATATACCCCGTTCAAAGACCAGCGGAAAGAAATCCCGTTCTTTCCAGGTCCTTCTAAAATTTAACACCAAGGAACAATAGTTGGTTGAATCAACCCAAGTGGCATAGCGCACACCTCTAAAAACCGCAAACAAATCGCAGAAACAACTCCCGCGCCCAGGGCAAGGATATTTGTTCCTTGTAGCTTGCAACCAACAAAAGGGGGGGGGGCAAGCACAGCACCAGTGGGAACAAGACGGCCGAAAAGCCGGCGTTGGTCGAAAACTGCCCTGCAGGGAAGCGTTTTTGTTCAGGGACCCAGCTCTTTGAGTCTCCCTCCTTTCCGTCTGCCCTCGTGACGCGGAAAGAGTCCTCCCTGAAGCCCTTTTGAAGTGACCTTTCTGTTGAAACCCTCCATCCTCCACCGAACTCAGAAACCCAATGGAAAGATTCGATCCCCCAACGGAAATACCGTAGCAAACGTTATGGTTTCAGCCATGGATTCATTTCGTGGTGCAAGACTCGCGGATTGCAAAAGACGTGTCGAGCCAAGAGCCAAACGACGGCTACGAACCTGTTAGAAGACCGCCACTCTCGGCAAATGTCCCGCAGGTTCAAAACGCCCTTCAAAAGAGACAGACGCCTCAAAGCGTGGGAAAGTTGCAAAGTCACGCATCTCGAAAAAGCCCGTGGCACACATGGGGTGTGATTTGTGACAGGAAACCACGGCCCCAACCAATCCCCAGCCCGCCATCAATCCCCGGCCTTGGAGAAGAAGTAAACGATCTCAGGGCCGAGTGGGTCTTCTTAACTCCCAGAAAATGGCTTCCAGGATTTGAGGATGTGTCCCTTGGTGCAAGAGGCTTCGAGGTTGTGAGAATTTCAGGATGTGAAGATGATAGAAATTTGAAGATTCAAGACTTTTCAGGGTGTGAGGATTTGGAAGATTTTAGTCTGTCCCACACAAACCGATCCCTATGTTCACCGGCGCCAACGCTTGGACCCAGAAGGTCCTGACCCCAGAAACTCAAGGGCCCAGTGTCCTAAGTGGTTTTTGGACCCCGGTGATCCCCTGTGGTTTGGTCGTCCGGGGTGGTTTTCCATTTTTCGTCCGGTTGGTCGGACCGTCTTCCGGGGCCGTTTCCCATTTCATGGTCTCAAGAACCAAAGGCTCCAAAGTTTAAATCCGAACCACCCATGCAAAGCTCCCAATCAGGGTCTTTGCGTCAACCCCAAGTCCATTTTCTGTAATAAGTGCCCCTTCGGCTTCCCGTTGAACCGAGCCCAAAACGGGACAAGAAACACGAAGAATGACAAATCAGGGGTGTCCTCTTACAGAGTCCCAGCTTGTTGATTTGTGGTGGGCTCACTCATCCCTGTTCGGTGGGGCGGAACTTTCGTTTGGGTTGATGATTTTGTTCCAAAGTGCAACTAGAAAATACCAAAGGGCTGGAACAAAACCGACGTTGTTGAAACCATTATTATGTTTCTATGCACATATGTCTAGTACTTCTCTCTGTCCCCCTCTCCCTCTCCATGTAATGCATTATATTGGTGTGTGTGTGTGTCTCCGTGTCTCTTTGCGTGTCTATGATGTGTCCGTGTGTCTCTGTGTGTGCGTGTCTGTGCTTGGGTTTTTTCTTCGAACCCTTTTGGGTGACCCCTTGATGGCCCCCTCAAATTCCCTGCCAAACAATAAACTTGAAGACTTCGGTCTCCGGACGACTATTGAACAGCTGAACAAACCACCAGTGTGTGTGTGTGTGTGTCTGCTTGCCTGTCTGGTTGTCTGGCTGCCTGCCTGCCTGCCTGACTGCCTGTCTTTCTGTCCGTCTTTCCCTTCTCAGCTTGGTGCAAAGGGAAACCTATTCTGGCACATGCCATTAGATAATAATTCCCAATTCAAGGTCCCGCACCCGGATTGAGGGTTGGCTTAGGGTTGCGGGGTTTGCCTCATAGAGGGTTGGCTGGGTTTGGAGTTTGCTGAAGGGTCTACGCTGATGCCCGGGGATGATGCTGGCTGGAGTCCTGGGCCCGGACAATGCAGGGCTGGGCCCAGAGGGGTGGGGGATACCATTGAGAGGGGGGGGGTGAGGTGAACCTGGAGCAAGGAACATGCGTGTGTTTCTTTAAGGTTGGGCCAACAAAAAGTTGGTGTTCTTTGGTTTCCCTTTAAAACCACAAAGAAGGGGGTACGCGCAAAAATGGACACACTTATATATATATATATGTGTGCACATACATAATATATATATATATATATATACATATGCACGTATATATGTATATATATATATATGTATATACATATAATGCGCCCTTTACTAATCTTTCCTACATCCTGAGGACCGGGCCCGGTCGGCATCGCCATCAAAGCTGACCCAGCGGCCGAGGGCGGGGTCGGCCTAGGCAAACAAAAAAATGGTTCGCACCAGAGCTGGGTTTGTGTTGGTGTGGTTCTTTTGTGGAGGATCAATGTTCAGCTTCCCTCTGACTATTACTCTCATTGGTGGTTTGGATTGGTGGTTTGGATTAGTGGCTTGGAGGTTCGGGGGTGATGTCCCATTTGCCATCTACAAGAACCAGGCGCTAAAATCCCCACACCACCAATCCAAACCGCCAATTCAAGGCTCGGGAAACATGAGAAACCCAGAAAGGGAAACACGTGGAAAGACTGGTATTAAACAGCTGGGAAAAGGGAAAGCCTTGGGGCAATGCAAACAATGGACCTCACCGGAGACACAGACAAACCTGACGCGGTACGAATCACATCTCAACTTGAGCTCGGAGGGCATGGATCCAAATTGGACCCCCACCTGTGAACGGCAAGGTCAAAAGCTGCATTCGCGTTGGATCCAGACGTTCAACAAGCTTCCTTCATTGCATAAGCCTTTGATGGCGGGTTAGTGACCCCCCAAAGTCGCTCAATTGACCGTAAAAAATTGCAACCTTCGGCTTGAGAAGGCCACTAGCCTGGCATTGGCCCGGACAGATTCCTTTTTCCCCGGTCGCCTTAAGCGGTCGACTGAACAAAGAGTCCACGTGCAGCACCGGCTTCAAAGAAGCGACCAAATTACACGTAGGATGCATCCCTTGCGTTTCAAGCTGGCACCCTTCATCGCCAGCCACAAGCCACCAACATGTTAATGTTACCTACCATCTACAAAAGGCCGTGGTCATGTTGGGCGCCTTTGGTGGGTTCCCCAAAAATCAACTCATGCACCAACAGCGCATACACTGCGGTACCTCTCATAATTCATCAACCTGAATTGGGGCATTCCACAGAGGTACGTGTAAGGTAGTAAGTGTAGGCTGAGAGAGCGAGAGTAAGTATGTGTTAAGTTGAGTGAGTGAAGGTGAGAGCAGTTTAACGCCGTAAGAAAGCAAGCGTAAGTTAGCGAGTGCAGGTTGAGTGAGCGAGTAAGTATGCGTGCCACGCACGGCAACAAAGGCGTGTAAAAGTCAGGCGCCTGCCGCGCAAGCCAGCTGCAGCACACAAACACAAACAGAGCGCATCTCCTCGGGGCCCGGTCCGCGCAAACCAGTCTAAAAGGCCGCGCCACGCAAATGGACCTGCCGCTCCGAGCCAACCGGTCCCAGCCAACCAGTCTCAAGTACTGCGCCCCTCACTCCATCGAGCCCCAGCGTGTCCAAAGTATTGCGCCTGTCATGAAATCGAGGCCCGGCGTGTCCAAAAACCTCCGCCTGCCACGCAAGCAGACCTGCCCAAGCCGACCGCTCCAAACCAGTCGAACATGCTGCACCTGTGTCTTTTGAACCCCCAAATCGGTGGTATTTCTTTTGGTTTTCCTTAACACAAAAAGAAGAAGACTAGCTACCCATATCTACCCCCCCCCCCTCCCCCCCAAGAAAAAAGCACAACGCCTCGCGCTAACCCTGGCGCTGGGCCCTCGGCATTGGCTGGCGCGGCCTGCTTTGTCTTCACGAAGTCGGCGCCGCAGCCTGCGGAAAACCCGGATGGGACACGCCCTGTTGGAGGTTTTCCGACAAGCTGGAAACACCAAAAAGCTGGAAAACACATCTGTGGACACAAGAAGCCAAAGCAAAGGTGGAGAAATTTGTGGCTGGAGATAAGCTGGACATGAACTTGTACCAATCGCAAAAAGGCTGGGAATGTGGGAATAACCCCTATAAACCATCCTCGATTTGGTTTCCTTTAGGGGGACTTTTGGGTTCATTCCCTCATTCCCTACTTGTTGCAAAAGCAAGAAAACCCGGTGGGTGCGGAAAAGCACACCTTTCGGGGCGAGCTGCAAACACGAACAAGCTGGAAAATAACGCGTGGACATAAGAAGCCAAAAACAAAGGTTGAGAAGATGTGGCTGGAGATGAGCTGGACATTGGCAAAGTGAAAAAAGGGAATCCCCAAGTACTTGCATGTTCGGCCAACTTAGTAGTTGGTTAGTCACTTGGGTCCTAACCCACAAACAGGGTTAACCCCACGTTCACGGGGCGGGGGACATAAGTGGGTTATATCCGAACGGTTGCGAACCACTTACGAACTTGGCCCCAAGTAAAGGACGATCATGACTGGAGAGCTCGTCTTTGCCTGAGGTGAGCTCCTTATGATTCGCCCGTTGGGGGCTGGAAGAATAAATCCTATGATAGGTGTCCACCACTGTTTGCAGTGCAGCAGAAAATGGTTTTTCCCTCACACAGGAGCAACAAAAGCAAACAATTTAAAGAAGTAAAACAACAGTACAGCGTCCTTCAGCACATTCCGGCCACACGTCAGCATGTCACGAGTGCTCTGTCTCATGTGTTTCTTGGTGCCAGTACGAAACCAGCATTGACACGGAAATCAAGATTGCCACCGAAAGGTGAAAAATCCTTGGCCCTCAGCCTCTTGCACAAACAACACTTGGCAAACAGAATAAGCAGGGCCATGATGCGAGCAGGGATGGGGGCAGCCTTCCAAACTCCGCGCCTTCCACAGTCCTCGCCTATTTGTTCCTCGCTAACCGCTCCAGTGAAAGTGGAAAGGAGGACTCACCAAGCGTCATGTTGCCAAACCTTCCCGTGAAAGGAGAGAATCTTAACTTAAAACCGCCACGCGTGTGGTCATGTCAGTGTGGTATGTGTCAAAATCGGGGGACCACACATATGCTGGTTTTCCTTGTGGTGGCCCTTTAAACCATGGTAAAAAGGGTACCCTCAACCCTCCCCCCCCCCACCCCATGCCACTCCACAAGCTGTCGCTGTGCGCTCTCCGCCTTCGTTCAGGACGCCCTCGCCCACGCGATTCACGAGGTTCACGGTGAGGCCAACTGCAACACTCGGCTCTGCGACGCCCATCGAAGACGGTCCACCGCCAGCCACAAGCCACCAACATGCAACCTATCTGCACATATCTGAATCAGATTTTACCACCCATGATCATTGTGGGATCCTTTGGAGGCAGGTTCCCTACAACTAAGACACGCTTGATCAATGGTTTATTAACTCATGGACCAGAGCCAGAGGTTCATAAATCTGCACTAGTTGCTGCAATCTGCCAACTTGCAGAAATGATTGCCCGTTGTCGCCGTGGGTTATGGGGAGTGCGCGGGTGACACAAAACTAGGGGTTCATGACTTGTCCAGTAGTTTTGTGCATACAGTTTAGTTGCCCAGGTCCATCAAATCATCAAACGACCTTCTGGAAGCTAACACCCGCTCGATCCATGTCAATCTCAGGGCCGTCCTTTTTGCCGACAGGTTTGGTGCGCCTCCCAAAACGTGCTTGTGCAGAGGCCGTGTTTTCCACTGTCCCGGCCCCATCTGACATCCCAATCCCGGGTTTTGCCGATTCACCGTGGCACACCCGCCATGAATATTGCTTCGATGGGCCCCTGCCTTCGCCCTTTACGAGAACTGTCGACCTCTGTGCGTCGGCATTTGCTTTGTGGTGTGTAGTGGTGACTTCAGCAATCCCCCCCTTCCCCACATTCCAACCTCAGCTTTTGCCAAAAATACAAAGTGCCAACGTCAGATTCTGCCATGGGGCGAATCATGATCCAACAAGCACCCCCGAAGAATGGACTCTGCAGGTGAAATCGGCTGCAAACCGACACCCTGCGCAAGGTTTACACATTGGTCCATAAAGCTGACCGAACCTTGACAACCATCGTTGCAATCAGGTCGAAGCGCAAAAAGGGAAATCCATCCCTGCCAAGCCTTGCTGGGGCCCAAGAAAACTTGGTTGACGCTGGAAGGGGAGCAACAAATTCAATCTTAGCAGTTAAGTGGGGATTTCCCACTAAACCACAACAAGCAAAAATGTAAAATCTTTCCCCACAACAAGAGCCTGGAACATAAGAGCCTTACAATTAATTGAAACACCCGTACGCAGCCGAGGACGCTTGCTTGAAGGCGTCTGCCCAGCGGGTAAGGCAAGGCAGTCGAAGCTGTACAGGGAGCATCCACATGGCCGGGCCAGGCCCCACTCTTCGAAATAGGGATCGCTGGTGAGCCATTCCCCCAATGGCCCAGGTGCAGGAACTCAGTCGGCTTGTGGCAATAGAACAAACTTATCCTTCGTTGGGTTTGGCTCGGGACCTTGGGCTCATCCACCCCATCCACCCCCGCGGCCCCGCGGCCCCGCGGCCCCGTGCGCTCGAGCCCCGGTCTCAGCCTGAGCTGAGGCGCTCGGTCATGGTGGCCAGTGCCATGCCGCCTCGCGTGAGGCGGGTGCCGAAAAGCGGCCCTTCGTCGGTTTCACTGGCCGCACGACAAGTGTTTTTTTTGGGCCGGGGGGGTTTGGGGGAAAAACAAGTCACCCACCCCAACACCCCAATAGTTGTTACTGATGGACAAAATCCATTTCGCACCAACTTGAAATCATGCAAGGGGAATCATCCTTCCAGGGTGTCTTAGGTGGTGCAGGATGTCGTCCATCCACAGTAGGTGCAAGGGAGATGCCCTAGCTCACATTTTCAATAGCATCCGTTTGGTTCCTCTTCACAGGGGGCTGGTTGTTGCAAAAAACACCATAGGTGCAAGGTCTCAGCCGACAGCAGCATGTGGCCGGATGCTGCAATCCAAACAAACCCTGGCTACCCCTGTTCCCTGTTATTTATCGCCCACCAAACGGATAGCGTTGGCCCCAGAAGGTCATGTTGAAAACCACCAAACCGGGAGACTCAGTTTCCCAAAGGACCCGGACATCAAAGGCCAACTTCTTGGGACCGTTACAGAAAGTGGACCAAAAAGGGACAACCAACGGGTCAGACCCGGTCCATTCGCTTGCGACTCACTCAGCCTCGCCCCACTCGACTCCGGCCCAGTGCCGCTCTTTCCGGGGCCCGGGCCCACTCCGCAGGCGCAGTCCACGTTGACGCTGCCCTTGTACCTGGCCATGGCAAACATGCAGGAAAAAATGGGCGGCCAAACCCCCGCAATCGATCGGTCTACCAAAGTCCCAATGTCCCAAGGCCCAACCCCATCGGGTGGAAAGTAGAACTTCCCAAGGAAAACCACTGGCCATGATTTGACCATTGGGGCGGTTGTGACGCTCAAAGAAACCCGCGAACACCGCGTCCCTCGTTTTTGTTGCCTTCGTCTGTACACCCAGACCGCTGTCCAGCCCTTCGGCAACAAACTCGACTTTGCTCATTCACGCGCGGCTCTATGTCTATTGATCGATAGGCGTAGTGGCCCGCAAATGCAAATCAATTCAGCTCCTGGCAGTTGTACACTTGCAATCAAAGCCGCCAATTGGAGGGAAGCGGATGTAGGCCAAGGGCAAAAAGCGGTACCCTAAGGGATGCACATAGGTGTTCATCGTCTTTTTGCCCTTGCGCTTTGTTGACTGCGTTTTGCACGGTGTTTTCCCCTGCGGTCTTGGTCCAGGACCAGGCCTGCTCAATGGCTGACCCCCGACAGAGCTTTGGTAGTTCACTTGCCACGTTTCGTGCTGTGCAGCAAGATGCACCAGCAGCCAGCAACTATTGTACAGGTGTTTTGGAGGTGTTCCGGGGGTGGTTCACACTTACCCTCTACAGGAACCAGGGTTTCAACAATCTAGACCACACCAGCAAGCTTTCTGGCTTTTTGAGGTCGTCCTTTGTAGGTTGGCCGAAAACTCAGTTTTGGGGGGGCTCCCCTATTTTGATTCAAAGGGGTGGATTACGGGACATTTTTCAGGACAACCGCTGAATTTGGGGTGTTGGGGTAACCCATGTCCTGTAGATTTCCCTGTAATCCAAATTGATCCCTTTGATTGATTCCTAACCCTTTGACTTTTGACTGTAACCCATGTCCCTGTAACCCATTTCCCTGTAGATCGATTCTTGGCGCCAAGGAAAACAAAAGCCGCGCCGCCCCTCAGACCGGCGCCAGCCCGAACTTGGCACCTCCGCGGCGAGCTGGCCCCGCTGCTCAGCAGCTTCCCGAAGGCGCTCAGCAGCTTCTCCTGGCAGTCGTCGGGGGGTCCCCGGGGAAGGGTTTGAAGGAAAGGACCGGGGGGAACGCGAACCCACGAAGAGAGAACACCGGGGGAAAATGGGGTGTTTTCTTTTTCTCTTTCCCTTTTTATCTTCCGGGCGCCGAAGACTAAACCCGCGTGCGCGGGGAACAAATTGAGAGAGGTGTTATTGAAGTGTCCAAGCGCATAAACCGAGCATGGTTTCCTCCTTCAATCAAAAGACCTACTGCAAAAGCCTGCTATTGCAAAAATGGTTCAACATGTGTCACTAAACACCTGGAGGGAAACCCTATGTTTGATAGACGCCCCATGGATTCTTGAGTTTTGACCATGTCACTCTATTGCAATCCCAGTGGAACACGAGCCGTGGTCATTTGAATACGTCGGCGCTCCCCACTAGAACCAATGGCCAAATGGGCTTGAACTGGCTAGCTTCATTTGAAGGAAGCAGGTCTGAACCAAGTCGAGCCATCATTTTACTTGACCAAGTTTCAATGGCCCAAGATGCCTATTGGATCTTTGGCGGTTAAAGGGAGCCAAAACACGCTGCCGGGACATTCATCACATGACAGCCGCGGCCAATCTCGCAGACATCCTTGATGCGCAAACCAAACTTAGTCCTACCCACAAACCTCCTGTCGGCCAGGAGACTTGCATGCGCCGGCTATGTCTGCCTCTCACCCTTCGCGCTCACATGTTCACGAGCGCGCTCGCAAAACGCCACAAGGGAGGCGTGTGGTTTTTGAAGATTGGTGAGTCTTGTTTTGGTTGTGCACCCTCAACAAAAATAGACCGGCCATACCGACCCAATTCCAAGACTCTGGCTGCCCAAACGCAAGACGAGAAGAGCTTTCGCGTGCCTCGTAGCCTCCGATGCTTGGGACTCCATAGGTGGAGTCGGTTTCACCTAACGCGAGCCCCAGTCTTCACTGGGCTGCCCTCAGATCCCCCGCTAAAAGTGACTAACTTACCACCAAACACTAAAAGGCTAAAAAGCTCATGGGATGGCTGGGATGGGCGAGAACGGTCTTTTGCATTCAAAGGGAGGGCGAGACCGTGCCCTTTGCATGAGAAGTCTAAGGACAAGCGACTGGCTTCTTGTGTGTTATGCGTTTGACTTTTAAAAAATAGGAGCCATCTCAAACCAACGAAGCAAGGTCATGGCAAGGTTAACTTTCAGGGGCCGTTGATTCTCCCTCTGGCCGCAGTTACTCAGACGGAAGCAACCGAGAGGCACTTCTTCCCCTCGAAACGAAGGGCTTCCGGCCGCAAGGCAAGCTCTTCCCACGGCCGACCCTATGCTGCTTCACCGGCCGGAAACCGCCACTTCAGATCGTCAACGCTTATCCAATGCGGACTGCACCAGATGTTGATTTCTCGGTTGCTTTCTGCTCCCCTGCTAAACGTTTAACTTTTAGTGGTTTAATGGAAAACTCCATGAGTTGGCAAAAAGCTAAAGTCCTAACATCCAAGCAAAATGCACCAAAGATTTACATTTGGATGTCCTTCAAATCCTTTGAAGGCGCTCCAGCTCCACAAAAGAGACACAGACACAGACACAGACGGAGAGACAAGCACGGACACAAACGGCGACACAGAGACACAGAGACACGGAGACATGGAGCAAACACACACACACACACACACACACACACACACACACACACACACACACACACACACAAACAAACACGTATGTAGGTCATGGTGGTTCACGTAAACATCCTCGACAGTGATGCTGCAAAATATGTGTCTTCTTTTTTCAAGCTCAGCTGCTCTTGCACTCGGCGGCTGTCGCCGCCGCAGTCAGGACGACCCCAAGTCACGACTTCGCCAGATTTAAGAATGGCAGCAAACGCAGAGGAAGATGCTTGGATGCGCTGGACGTTCCTCAGCTGTGCTTGCACCTCGCTGCTGTCTCCGCCACATCCTGGATCACCCCAGGTCACAACTGCCCCAGATTCAAGAATGGCAGCAAATGCACCGTCAGTTGCTTGGATGTGCTGCACGTTTTGCAGCTGCTCTTGCACCTCGCTGCTGTCTCCACCACGACACCAAGCACCCCAGGTCACAACTGCCCCAGATCCAAGAAGGGCAGCGAACGCACCGTCAGTTGCTTGGATGTGCTCGACGTTTCTCAGCTGCTCTTGCACCTGAGTGCGTATTTCACCATGACCACAGGAACCCCAAGTCACAACTGCCCCACATTCAAGAATGGCAGCAAAAGCACGGAAAGATGCTTGGATGTGCTGGACATTCCTCAACTGTGATTGCACCTTGCTGGTGGCTCTGCCGTATGTTGCATCACCCCAGGTCACAACAGTCCCAGATTCAAGAATGGCTGCAAACGACCCGTCAGTTGCTTGGATGTGCTGGACGTTTCTTAGCTGCTCTCGAACCCAGCTGCTGTCGCCGCCGGAATTGGGACGACCCCAAGTCACGACTTCCCCAGATTCAAGAATGGCAGCAAAAGCACAGATACTTGCTTGGATGTGCTCGACGTTCCTCAGCTGCTCTTGCACCTGGCTGCTGTCTCCTCCACTTGCTGTATCGCCCCAGGTCACAACAGCCCCAGATTCAAGAATGGCAGCGAAGGCACCGATAGTTGCTTGGATGTGCTTGACCTGCCTCAGCTGCTCTTGCACCTGGCCGCTGTCTCCGCCACATTCTGCATCGCCCCAGGTCACAACAGCTCCAGATTCGAGAATGGCAGCAAAAGCACCGGCAGTTGCTTGGATGCACTGGATGTTCCTCAGCTGCTCTTGCACCTGGCCGCTGTCGGCACCGCAGCCTGGATCACCCCAGGTCACCAGCTCGGCCCCGAGACCATGCAAAGCAAACGCCTGATAAGTGGCAAACAGTTGGCCAAGCTGGACAACTGCAGCTACCACATCCCCATCTCCCAACCCGGCCTCCTTCACCGTGGCCCTCAAATCGAGCTGCACGCCTTTCGCAGTGAGCTTCAAGCGGCGCTGGAAATGCTGCTGCGCTGCAACCTTCAGCTCGCTGATGGGCGTCTCTGGTGAGACTTCGACCGAGAAACCGTCCCCACTTGGCAAGTGAACATCCACCCTCATGGCACAGGCAGGTTCCAGATGTAAGTTGCCTAAAGCCCTGGTCAAAGGGAAAACTGACCCTTGGAGGGAAACCCAAACCAATGTATATAGCCTTCTGACTCGATCATCGCCTGGGCGGGGGGTTGATGTGCCGAATCTGACCCAACACGACAAACCTTCATGATTCGCTTTCGACATGCGTGTCACTCCGAGAGGAACAAGGGCTTGGTCTTCAAACAATGGGTTCTAGGTTGCCACGCACATGATATAGTCCTTTGGTACCAGCTGGAACCCCAATAAAAGAACCTGTTTCGGGCCTGAGACGTAGGAAACCGGGACTTTTGGGACCCCAGAGGCCCAGCCACTTCAAACTCAGGCCCACCAAGGCCTATGTCTTGTGGAAGATCTCTGATACTCGGTTGCTTTCTGCTCCCCTGCTAAAAGTTTAATGGAAAACCCATTAGTTGGCAAAAAGTAAAGTCCTAACATCCAAGCAAGATGCGCGAAAGGATCAGTATCGGGCAGAACGCGCTATCTTTGAGCCTTTCGGGCAAATCTCCACGGTCGACATTTGCAGCAACACGCCTGCCGAGCCAGAAAAGCTGGGGGGGGTCGGTCTTTTCTGGGCTCTTTTGAACAGTCCATCTCGGAGATTCCCAGGATCCCCACAAAATGTGCGAACTCACCTGCAATCTCAAGGCCTTCCCCCGAAACGCTCGCGGACCCGTGAGCGGCTGTCCGGCGCTGCCCTTTAGCCCGGTGTTTGAGCAGCCAAAGCAACCAAGCAGGTGATGGGTCCCAAGCTGTGCAGGAAACCAAACCAGCATCTCCGAATGTTCAAGGGGAAGCCAAAGATTCAAAAAGAAAAGAAACCAATCGGCGTGTTTTGTTGTCGCGCTTTTGCGCTGCCGATTTGTGTGCGGGACAGCCGGACCCACCGGAGTGCGCAAAGCGGGCACCCGCGCAGCGGACAATGTAGTGCAATTGCCTCGGCCGCGTTTGGCCCGGGAAACCCCCGACCCGCGACCCACGACCCGTCAATCCAGCCCGCCTCGCCCAATCATACTGTGGATGGACGAAATCCATTTCGCACCACCTAAGAAACCCTGGAATGATGATTCCCCTGCAAATACCATTCAACAAAAAATGGTTTTCCATGAATTCAACAACGTGGTGCAAGATGTCGTCCACCCACAGTAGGGGCCATTCAGAAGTCACGTCCCAACCAAGACTTGATTGCACTGGTTGGACCAAGCTCCAGGGCAAACCCTCGAACCCCCATCGCAAACCACAAACACATTTGAAGAGCTGAGAAAACAACCTGGGCAGCTGTTTCCTCAAGCCCAAAAACATTGGTGGTTGCTTTTTGGTCATCTTTAAAAACGTACCAAAAGAGGGTCCTTTCCCTATTGGAGCACAATTTTAAGCATCCAAAAAGGCGCGCTTGTCCTTTGCTCCCGTTTTTGCCACGTGGCATGGGATGTCTAATAACAGGCATCCTATTGCACCCAACATGGTTTAGCTGAACGAAATAAGACTATTTGTTCTTTACAACACTAGGTATAGCAGCAAAACACTTGCTTTTTGCAGACCCGACTAAACACCAGCAGGACCAACAAACCCAAAACAGCAGAAAGACACTTGCCAACAACATTGCCAGAGAAAAACAGCATCCCATAGTGTGGATTGACAGAATCCTGCACCACCGTTCAGAAACAGGGCATGATTCGTTTCCCCGTAAATACCAACAAACCTTGTTTCAACCATGGCTCCATGGTGCGAGAAGCGGATGTTGCCACCCCGAAACACGGGAATGACTCAGTTCCCCTGTAACTACCAACAACCAATGGTTTCCCATGGCTTAGTCTAAAACTAGGTCCCCCAGTGTTGCCCTTTTACCCTTTTTTTGGGGAGGGTTTTCCTACTAAAATAGACTGCATAAAAAAGGGTACCCTTATTCTATCCTCTAGAACTTAGTTGTTCACTGAAACAAGACACCCCAGACATCCCCAAACCACCCCCGTGCTTCCAATAAAGCCCACAAGTTAGTTCACTGCCAGGCGGCGGCGTGGTCACCACGCCCACAGTTCGCACGTGCGCGGGTCTCAGCACGCCTCATCAGGGAAATCAAGGCGGGTCTGAATACAGGTGAAATCGTCCACGCTTCCATTTACCAGGGCAACCCGTTTTGTGGTACCTATTTATTTTGGACAAACACTGCCATTTGTTATTTGTTTTTGTGGAGAACACCCTTTTCAACATGGCATGGCTTTGGTGTCCTTTGACATTTATATCACCCACAAAAAGTTCCATCATGTGAACCATCCAGCTGGTTGCTCAGGCCACCAAACAACCCACTGCCCCCCCCCACCCGTGATGCCCGCCGGCGGAGAAAGGTAAATGCCGATGTTAAATCCCAACCTTAATTTGTTTATATAAGGGGTGCGGATTTATTTTGGGAATTGTTTTAGTTTTTTGTGTTTTTTTTTTTTGATTTTTTTTTCGT